GGATCAGAAGTTGAGCAGTTGGGACATGAACCAGCTTCCATATGGGATTAACCAGATGAGTCAATGCATCAGCTCCAATAAATAAAACTTACAAAGATTAAAATTTATTCTCATCTCCAGTATAATATAAAATTTCCAAGAAGTTGCCAGAATCACTATTTGATTAGACAACAGAGGTGGTTCCACATCAATATTAGCATATTATATAAATGTCAACTAAGCTAACAGGTGATCTCTTATTAATATATAAAGATGACTGGTGTATTATAAATAGTCATAAATAAAACTATCACCTGGAGCAGGTGCTGTGGTTTCAAATAAACACCAACAAATACAGACTATTGTTATTTACTAATTTACATGTATAATTTATTTATATGTATATATTTAATATATGTATAATTTATTTTAACCTTCTGAGAATAATTCTTGAGAGTCTAATACAAATATGGTTCCACTGCCTGAGGCACATATTTGAATAACACATTCTGTGAAACAAGCATAATGGGAAGAAAAGCACTCAGAGACTGCGTGCAAAGTTCCCACCTCCTTAGCTTCAAATAGCTTTGCCTCTTACATTAGTAAATGTGGATAAAGGCCTCTGCCTAAACTCTTCGGTTTCAACTATATTTTATAGTGTTTTCTGGAAGAGACCATATTGTATATCAGTATCCTTAGATTTGGGGATTTTTGAAGTTTTGTTGTATGTTTAGCCTGAATGACAAGCACTTTCATTGCTTAAGATACAAGAATGCAGCTGGAGTGTATATTATTACTCGTGTCCAACTGAAGATATATCCAGGATGGATCTTTTTTAGGTCAGGGAAATGCCTCAATAGAAGGAGGCTATGTGAGAAAAAATTTTAAAGTCTATGGAAAATTTATACTATGAAAAAACCATGCATAGATTTCAAATTTTCAAAATACACTTATCTTTTTTAAAAAACACTTTGAGAAAGAGAGAAGTGATCTTCTATCCAATGATTCACTCTCCAAGTGTCTACAGCATTCAGGTCTATGCCAGGCTGAAGCCAGAAGGCAGAAACACCATCTCCTGGTATCCACTCAAACATGGACTCTGAGATAGGATGCAAGCAGTACCTGAAGTTGCTGTGTGCCACAACATTGTCTCCTAAACTAATATTTTAATTCTTTCTATGAATTTTCTTTAGCATTTGCATACTAAAACAAAACAGAACAAAATCTATAAACATTTTTTAATACAGGAAGAACACTGTGCATGACATTCAGAAATATTCAGAATGAAGCGTAAGTTCTCACAGATTGCTACGGTAAACTTTTGCCAACCATTACCCTCTTGCTTCCAGAGAATGGAAAGGGCTTTTCATCTCCATACTATCAATCTAGCATTGGTTCCAGAAGAGAAAGATTTAACACAACTTGACAGGTTTCTTACAGGGCCATAAGCTCCTGAACACAAGGAAAGGAATGATTAAGAGGTCCTTGCCCTCAGTCTGATGTGTGCAGTGTCGCTGTGATCATGCTCTTTCAGTGGGACTTCATTCTGCAAAGTGCAGTCACTTTGATTTTTGAATTACAGAACCTTCCAAATTAGTTTTTGTTTAAGTCTACATCAGCATCTAGCTTGCTGTTTCTTTGTTATCTCTATCTGATCTACAAAAATCCTGTAAATACAAATAAACCAAACCTATTTGCACTCTTGCCATTCTCCATTACTGTTCCCTTCCACACAGGGAAGAAACAAAACCAGAGGCTCTTTGGCACCACCAGATCTCGGCTTTCATGGAAACTTCTGACTCCAACGTCTTTCTCTAAAATTTCTTCTCTTCCTCTTCAAATATGTGAGTTTCTTTTGCCCTCTTTTTCTGTTCAAGGTAACAGATAATTTCAATTCAAAAATCACTATCATTTTAATCCCTTTTTTCTTCTTTCATTTCAACTTTTGCCTACTTAGGTCACCAAAATGCCTTCCATTTTTGTTTTGTTTATTTGTTTCTATCAGGGATCACAGATTAAAATGAATGATGCCACTTGAATTTTTAGAATTTTGCCACCCCTATCTGCAAAAACACAAGTAATTTTCTAAACATGAAATATCTGTTGCAACCTGGTAGTAAAACTGTCAGATGGGACCCTACTGATTAAGCCTGGGGTAATGATCTAGTCCCTTTCATCAATGTCCCTATTAAGGAGTGAAATTGTAAGATACATTTAAGTGTGCAGATGTATGTATATCAACAAGAGCACACACACATATTTAGTCTATAGACTAAGGGGGGGTTCACTGCTATTATCTTAATTTACAATTTTTATTTGTTACAGGGTGGCTCTTGTAATTCTCATTTAATACACTGACTTCCTACTAAAACGCTCATACTGCTTCCTTCTAAAAGTCCTCTATTTCCAATTAAGCTCTGACCAAGAACAATTCAAAGTGTTGCTTCTCCTGAAGGTCCCACATGGCGAAAGGATTAGCCATGTCATCTCTGACCAAGAAGGTAATCAACATCAAGCAAGCCCCATGGGCCACTGGTCCCTACTGTCCAGCTGGGTCAGCAACAGGACCACTTACATTTCAGGACAGGTAGGCATGGTCCCTTCATGTGGCCAGCTTGCTAGGAGGGCCTAGTAGAAGAAGATAAACAACTTATAACCAAGGGTGAAATTTTGAAGGCTTCAGACTGTGGTTACTAATGTGGCAAAACAACTGCTCTCTTGGCTGCATGAATGACTTTGGTACTGTCAATGAAGTCTGTGAGCTATTTCAGATGGTTTTCCTGCTAGAGCTGCTTACCAGATTGCTGTTTCAACCAAAGGAAGTCACGCTGAAACCAAAGCAGTAGCTTTCTAAGGACTTCTCTCAAAATGGCCTATGAGAGTATTCTGTGTTGCTGGGTCCGGAATTTTCACTTTGTCTTTAAATTAACATTTTAATTTTTATAATTGATTTTGGCTAAAAAATTTTGTACGAAAAAAGTTAGGTTTGGCTAAAATATCTACACTTACTATGGAAAGGTCACGTAACTGGGGGAATTAAACATGAGTTTTGGATTAGATAATGAACCTAGTCATGATGTTTTAAATTACACTTACTGAATGAAGGAGAAGTGACTCATACCCAGTTACTCAAAAACATAACAGGGAAATAACATGTAGGAAATATGAATTACTGTTCCTGAGAAGTAATGAAGAGTGCACCTGATTCAGTTAAATAATGTTAATAATGTAATGATGTGAGATATTAAGTACTCATCATGTGCTTCTACTTCTACTTGAGTAAAATTAAATCTTTCAAACTTGAATAGTAGAGGTAAAGGAAAACAAAGTAGACCAAAATTTTCTATAGATAATGTTTTTGTAACAGGAATAAAGGAGATATGCAGATTAAAAAACAAAATTTAGCATCATCTAAGTAGTGTTAGGAGACTCTGACCCTAGACATAAAGAAGTTACTGTGGCTTAGCATGTTAAGCCATCACCAGTGATGGGAGCATCCTTTATGGGTATAGGGTCCCAGCTGTTCTGCTTTCTATCCATTCCATGCTAATGTGCCTGGCAAAGCAGCAAACACTGATCCAGGTAATTAGGACCCTGCCAGCCACCTGGGAGACCCTGGTGGCAATTAAGGCTCTTGGCTTCAGCCTTATCCAGTCCAGCCATTACAGCTTTTTGAGCAATGAATCAAATCCCCTTCTCCACAAATTCCCTTTCCCCACTGATTTTCTTCATTATTACAACAGTGTAGTCCTTCAAAAACAGTCCGAAGTCCATCATTCTGCTATCTAAGTATCCTGATATTGCAGGTATGAACAGTGGCAGAGAGTCCAGCAGCCTATTGTCAAGATACATTTAACAGCTTCATTGGGAGTCTGTCTTTGATTTGGAAACTTCTTTCTCTTTCTTGCCTCTCCCTCTCTTTAACTCAGCTTTTCATATAAACAATTCTTTAAAAAAAGGAATTTATAAAATATACTAAATTAGCATACCAATGAAACTATTATAACCCCAAGCAAACAACTAAGTCATTTTTTGGGTCTTTTCTAATTGAAAAAGGCATTAATTATATTAAATTATATTGTTTATTTCTCTTTCTGTCTATGCTGTCAAATTTAGGTTTTATGTGGGTTTTTCATGGGAAGAGAGTTGCAATCACTTTGGCTAAAAAGCACAATAGATTGGGCCCAGCATGGTAGCCTAGTGACTAAAGTTCTCACCTTGCACGCTCCAGGATCCCATATGGGTGCTGGTTTGTATCCTGGCTGCCTCACTTCCCTTCTAGCTCCCTGCTTGTGGCCTGGGAAAGCAGTAGAGCATGGGCCAAAGCCTTGGGACCCTGTACCCATTTGGGAGACCCAGAAGAAGCTCCAGGCTCCTGGCTTCAGATCAGCTTAGCTCCAGCCATTGTGGCCATTTAGGTAGTGAACCAGCAGATGAAATATCATTCTCTCCTCTGCATAAAATCTGATTTTCCAATAAAAATAAATAAATCTGTTTTAAAAAGCAGAATAGATGAAACAACTGGCTAAATTATGAATCTCTGTAAGTTGATTAGAAAATTGGTAACAATGGAAAAGGAAATATGCAAACTAGAACATGAGTACAAACAAATGAGCACCAATTTAAATTCTATAATATACATCATTTAAAATTTTTTTATTTAGATGTCTAATTCACTTTTAAATGTTATTTATTATTTACCTTAGTTTTCTTTGAAAAGGAGGTAGCCAAAGATAGAAATATCTCTTCCACCTACTGATTTCTCCAGAATGCCTACAACAGCTGAGGCTGAGAGCCAGGAATTCAACGTGGGCCTTCCATGTGGGTGGCAGGGACACAAGTACCTCGGCCATCATGACTGCCTTCCAGGATGCTTGTTAGCAGAAACTTGGACTTGAACCCAAGACTCCAATATGGGCTGTGGTTATCTCAACTGACATCTTAACTGTTGTGTGGAATGCCCCGCTCGAAACTTTGAAATTACGGAAATTTATAATCTTTCTTTTTAATTTTATACTTACAGGCAAATGAGTAAACACTTGAAAGATGCTTCTCAAAAAATTAATAAGATCCATTAAATAACCACTAGCTCTTCCATCTGGCTCAGACATTGTCCAGTCATAATCAGCAAGCTGAACAAATTCATCAATTTTCTGATTAAGTTTGGTATATATTTCTCCTTCTGCTGCATGTCGAGCATCCTGACAGGGGACAAAACAACATTAATAAACAACTATAAAAGCAGTTAACAAAGCAAGTTTTCTTACAATTCTAAATTTCACATATATTTGTCTTTGGCCTACTATTTTAAACATTCATGCAAAGCCCAGGAAGAAAGCTATTGGCTTATTTGCTTGCACTAATCTGCTTAACTAGACAACAAATCTTCCTTCTTCTTTCTTTTCCAGTCTCACCATTTCCTTTTTCATCCATGTGGCAGAGTGCTTTACAAGGCATTAATTCCTGACTTGTTCTTAACAGCTCTAAGAAGATCCTTAGGAGAAACAAAAGCAGAAAAGTAGAAACTGTCCAAAACAAAAAGTGCAGAAGACCATGCCTAATTACTGATTCAATAAGGAAAATTAAGTTGTACTGGCACAGAGGAGATGGAGATGGGATGGTTGTTGATGCTTTGCACTTCAAGGGTAAGAAAAGACAAAAGCAGAGACAGAGACATGTAACTTCTCCGAGGAAAATAAATGAGTCAATGAAGTCAGCACAAATAGAAAAAAGACCTCTACACTAGAGCTCCAGGCCTGTGTGTCTCATACCCTGAGCTCAGATGAAGGGGAAGACCAGGCCAGGCTTGTGGCAGAGGGGGTTAAATTGCCACCTGCCAACACTGACGTCCCTTCCATCCAGGTGTCAGTTGGTGTTCTGGCTGCTTTACTTGCATTGTTTCCTGCTAATGGCCTGGGAAAAGCAATGGAAGATGATGCAGGTGTTTGGGCCCCTGTCATGCACATAGGAGACCCAAAGGAAACCCCTGGCTCCTGCCTTTGGCCATGCCCAGTACTGGCTGTTGGGCTATCTAAGTAGATGGAAGATCTCTCTCCTCCTCTCTCTGTAACTCTTTCAAAATAAATATTTTTTTAAATAAAGACAGTTGAAGGTATGTTGCCTTTTGTATCCTACCCTGAGAAATGTCACATTTCCACTTTAATGCATTGGTTAAAGTAGTTTAAGTTTTCCCCAACAAGGATAAAGGGCCTCAGAGCCCCATTTTTAAATGAGAAAAGTATCAAGGAATTTGTGGCTATACGTATTTTGAAAATCATCATCCTTGCTATAATAAGGAAGGAGGAAGAAATAGTCCATACTACAATTTAATTAACAGAGAAAATAGGAAGGGGGTTGAGAAAATGGGGAAAAAGTCAATTCCTACTTATTTCACTTTTCTTTACATCTTGATCAAATTAATTTTTATAAATCCTTATTTCACTTTTCTTTACATCTTGATCAAATTAATTTTTATAAATCCTTGTTCAAGAAGGCGGGAAGGATCAGATATTCAAAAATCTTGAAGTCATTATGAAACATAAAACACTTTCTATCTGAAGGAAGAAGAAAATGAGAAGACCACATTCACATCTTTTAGTCCGATGAAATAATTACATGTTTTCTGGATTTCATGTTTAGTGGAGTCATGATAAAATTGGCCCAGAAATACTGAAGGTGTGTAGAGTAACTAGGCAAAAGCAAAGGAAGGAACACAGACGGCTTTAGCTGCTGCTCTCCAGCACTTGGTTGAATGATTTACTTTTCTGAGCTTACAAAAACAACAGGTTGCATTTTTCGTATCAACTATCCAGGTTAAGATAAACTTTTCTCAAGACGTAAAAAGACTGGGCAGGGGTTGGGGAGAGGTATTTAAAATTGTAACAGGTTTATTAATGCTAACCATAGGCTGTAATAGCGTGTAAAGAAATTGAAGTCAGAGGGCCAGTGGCTATGCCGTGTGAAAGACAAACCTCAGATGGCCTTTCTGAGCAGGAGCGTGTTTTAAAAACAGCACTTGAAAGGGGTTTTTCCAGGGAGTAAGGGTTCTGCTGATTTTATAATCCTGACAAATATAATCATTAGAAAATATACAAGGCTTTGATCCTCACAGCTGCCTTAAACTAACTACACTTCATTTTTAAAAACATAAGAGCAAGCAAAGAAACACTTTTACTATAAACATTCTCATACTTTCATAGAGATATGCTAAAGTAGCTGGTGAAACATTTGTAACAGATAATTATTGATTATGATTTAAGAGACTGTCGGGAAAACTAGTTTGGAGTTGCACTGTTGAATTCAAAACAGACTCAGTCCTTAGTACCTCATCTCACCTCATAGTAAGTAACAACTAATGTAAATAAAGCGAAAGAAATTGATTCTTCCTTTGCTTATGAAAGAAGCCATTCCGTCTGGAGGCATATCTCACAAAATCTGCAAACTAGTTTTTATTAGAGTGTATAAGAAATAAGTTCTATCTGAGCAAGCATTTGGTCCAATGGCTTAGATAACATGTGGAACATCAACATCACTGGAGTGCCTGGTTTGAGCTCCAGCTTTGCCGCTTCCCCTCAGCTTCCAAGAGGCAGCAGATGGTGGCTGCTGCACTTGGATTCCTGCCATCAGGTAGGAGACACGGACAGAGTTCCACACTCTGACCTCAGGCTGGTGCAGCACTGCCTATTGTGGGCATTTGGGGATTGAACCAGTGGATGAAAAATCTCTTTCTGTCTGTCTCATTGGTTTTCATATATTTTTTCAAAAAATGCAATATAAAAATAATCTATGCTAAAAAAATAATAAGGGCCAACTTTGTGGTAGAATGGGTTAAGCTGCTGCCTGCAATGCTGACATCCCATACAAGTGCCAATTTGAGTCCCACTTGCTCCACTTCCCATCTAGCGCCCTACTAATGCACCTGTGGAAATTTATGGATCAGTATCATAGATTATTAGCACACTGTTTCCCAAATTAGAAAGGAAGGTAGCAACAGAGTATAGTTTGGTCATGGGACTTTCAAATTTGTGTTTAGAATTTTTAAGATTTATAAATATATCAAGAAATGCCCCCCTTCCTCAAAATGAGCTAAATATATTTTTCTTAAATATTCAAGAAAATATTTCAATTAATACACTTGGATTAATGAGAATATTAATAGAAAATTGACAGGAACTGACAGAAAAAGCAGCTCAAACTTCTCTAAGCAATAAAGGGAAAGTCCCTGACCCCTTTAACTGCAAAGTCCAAGCATAGGGCAGGCTTCAGGCAGGGGGAACCTGCTGCTCAGGAGAGGGCACCAACCAGCCAGTCCCTCCAGCCTTTCCTCAGCTTTCTCTTCAGAATACACCTTGCTCTGCTGCTCTAAGTCCTTCCCTTCCCTTCTGGTAGTGAAACAGCCACCCTGTCGGAGCTCCAACCTCACACTCTCATGCCCTAAGAGAAATGATCTCCCTCTTCCATTTATGAATTCTCTCCATGTAAGAAGAGGATGGGAATTGCTCACTGACTCTAACTTAACAGGATCTATCCTTGGAGCCAGGTATTAGTGTAGGTTCAAATTACACAGCTATGAATGACAGCAGTGTCATTTTACAGAAACATATAGAACACTCCCAACAACAGGGAATGTAATAGACAACAAATCTTATCTGTTATTCAAAACACACCTAGTAAAAATACAGAAAGTCCTGGCAGAGCTCGTGCATGTGCTTGTTTTTAAAAGTTCCTGAGGTAGAGTACTGTGGGTTAGTACGTTCAGCCCCTGCCCACAATGCCATCATTCTATAGGAGTGTCAGTTTGAGTCCTGGTTGCTCCACTTCCAGTCCACCTCTCTCCTAACTGCCAAAGAAGGCAGTGGAGGATGGGTCAAGTCCTTGGTCTCATGAACCCACGTAAGACACCCAGAAGAAGCTCCTGACTCCTGGCTCTGGTCTGGCCCAACTCCAGTCTCTGTGGCCATTTAAGGAGTGAACCAGCAAATTCCTCAGTTAGTTACACTGCACTTATCCAATAACATTATTGATGCTAATAACAAAGGAGGAAAAAAGTACATAGGGCTAAATAATGGAATCTATCGTTTAGAATGAAGGGGAAAGGGCATAATGATGAAATGGACAGAAAGGAATCAAAGTTTAACAATGACTATAATTTCAAAAATAAATAAATACGTTCAATTAGATGTTTTAAATGTCAATATGTCAATCAATAGAAGTTGTTTCATTCTTGTATCTGCTACCTAAAAGCAATCAAAATACAGGTCACGGGTAGATATCCCAGTGTTCCGTGCAGCACCTGCCTTCCTCCTTGGCTTCCTTGGCCTGGGAGAGCCACAGCCATGGCTCTGCACTACCCCATGGCCATGGGCCTCAGCAAGGGCCAAAGGTGACCAAGAATGTGAGCAAGCTGGGGCACACCCAGCGCCATAGGCTCCTGACCAAGCACATCAAGTTCATATGGGACATGATCCGAGAGGTGCGGCTTTGCCCCTGCGAGAGCAGCTCCGTGGAGCTGCTCAAGGTCTCTATGGACAAGCAGGTGCTCAAGTTTACTGAGAAGAGTGTGTGCACACATATCTGGGCCAAGAGGAAATGCGAGGAGCTGAGCAGCGAGCTGGCCGCCATGCACAAGGTGGCTGCTAAGAAGGGTCGAGTGCCCCACCTGTCCCCATTCCCACGCCCTGCCGTGGAAATAAAACTCTGTGGCATTTGGGGAAAAAAAGTCAAGCAATCAATAAAAATATAAGGCAATCTCTTTGCTTCTCATTAAGTCAGCGAGTACTAATTCACCCAGCTACTTTTCTACAGGTTTTCCATTGTAACACATCACCATGGCTCACCTATAGTTGGAACCAGGACCCAAAAGGCAAGAACTCTTTAGATGTGGGATTAAGTTGTGAAAAACTCCATGGAACTAAGTTAAAGCTCTGTTATACCAGAAAGAAAAACCTGGTTTACTTCTCTACCATATAGATTAAAACAAGACTGGGGGCTAGGACATTAAGTCTAGCAGTTAAGATGTCCACATCCTGTATATGAGTACCTGAGTCCAGGTACTGGCTCTGTTTCTGCTTCCAGCTTACTGTCAATACGTACTCTGAGCAGCAGGTGATGGCTTAAGTACTTCAGTCCCTGGTATCCATGTTAGAGACCTGAACTGAACTAGCAGCTCCTGGGTTTGGCCTGGACCAGCTCCAGTACTAGAAATTATCTGGGAGAGAGAACCAGCTTTTCTCACTTCCTCTCAAACAACACATTTTGAAAATGAAAACCGTAGATGTCTCTTTTCAAAAAGAAAGTGTATAGTATTCCCATTTTCCTCTCCATTCTGATGCACACTCTTTTCCAGTTATAAGTCCCACAAGGGGGGCCCAGCACAATAGCCTATTGGCTAAAGTCCTTGCCTTGCATGTGCCAGGATCCCATATAGGTGCGGGTTCGTGTCCCTTCAGCCCTACTTCCATTCCAGCTCTGTGCTTGTGGTCTGGGAAAGCAGTAGAGGATGACTCAAAGCCTTGGGACCCTGCACCCGCATGGGAGACCTGAAAGAGGCTCCTGGCTTCTGGCTTTGGATTGACTCAGCTCTGGCCATTGTGGTCACTTGGAAAGTGAATCAGTGGATGGAAGATCTTCCTCTCTGCCTCCCCTCTTTTCTGTAAGTCCAACTTTCAAACAAATAAATAAATCTTAAAAAAAAAGAAAAAGAAAAAGAAAAAGAAATCCCACAATGGGCACCCAGCTTATGGGCTGCAGCTCCCACCAGTGAGCATGAGAACCAGAGCTAGGGAGGGCCTGGCTGGATTAGCAGTAGCACTCGCAGACATAAGTGTGGGCTGGATAGTGGGTTAGGTCAGGCTGAGCTAGGATCCAACACCCACTGATGTGTATGAAAGCCTAAAGGGATGTAGGACAGACTGGAACAGTCTGCTGTACATACTGGTATGTGTAGGAACCATGGCCGGGGGAGGTTCTGGAGGAGTTTCTGGGGATTGCCTCAACTAGGTTGCTATTCCTGCTGGTGTGTGTGAAGCCCAAGTGTTTGGTGGGCGGAGTTTGGCTGGGTCACAGCATCCACTGGTTTGTATTTGAGACGGGGTAGGGGATCGAACTCACTAGGTGAATGCAACCACCAGTTTCTTTGAGAACTCCCTCCAACTGGATCATTGGACTCAACCACAGTGAAAATCACAGGATAGGAGTTCTGACTGTGGAATGCATGTGTCAGAACTGGGTCTCCACGGTTGCTGAGGCCTGTGCAGTGGACTGCATGCTCAGATGCACATGGGGGACATGACAACTCATTAAGGCCTGCACAGAACATCTAATACCACGGAGCGCAGAACAAATGGACAATTCTCCAAGTTAAACTTTGACAGAGTCTCTGTATAGTTGAACAGAGACTCTAAGTTGGACTATGTCAGCAAATGGGCCTTGGAAAGATTTCCTCAATCTTATCAAAACCACTAAAGTAGCATCCTCAGGTCATGCTCCACATCAGGGACCCTGGGATGACACTGGGCTGCCGTCCCACATTCCTGGGTATGGTCAGGCTGCTGGGAGCAGACTTCTCTCCTACTCTCTCCACTTTCCCCAGATAATGGAAGACAGAAGGAGATTGGAGGCAGTTGTCTCATTTATTTTATCCCATTCTCGGACCTTCCCCACCCTAATTGGTGGTCCACATGGGCAAGAATCCCTCTCAACATAGAAAATAAAATGAATTTATTATTAAAAAAATAAAGTAAACATGAATGATCTAGGATCATAAATGCTACCTAGAAGGGAAAGAAGTAGAGGTATGGGTAAAGGATTTAGGTAAAGAATTCATGTAAAAGCTCATTTCCGGAATCATTAATCAAATAAATAGGTATATATTTTATAGGAATATTGTGCTGAAAAGCACCAGGTTAAAGCATTTAACCAAGCAGTTCAATCCAACATCTGTAATCAAGGTTATATTCATCAACTCTGTGAAATCAGCAACAGACTATTCACCATGTTTCCATACTTCATCACTGAAGTCCTTCCTCACATTACAGTTCAATGTAAGTTCTCTTGAAATAGAACAAAAAGGCCCAGCATGATAGCCTAGTGGCTAAAGTCCTTGTCTTGAATGAGCCAAGATCCCATATGGGCACCTGTTCTAATCCCGGTGGCTCCACTACCCAACCAGCTCCTTGCTTGAGTCCTGGGAAAGCAAGGAGAACAGCCCAAGACCTTGGGACCCTGCACCCACATGGGAGCTCCAGAAGAAGCTCCTGGCTCCTGAATTCAGATTGGTTCAGCTCTGGCCATTGAGGCTGCTTGAGGAGTGAACCATCACATAGAAGATCTTCCTCTCTGCCTCTCCTCCTCTCTGTATATCTGCCTTTCTAATAAAAATAAATAAATCTTAAAAAAAAAAACCAGAACAAATGTTAGCACTGAAGAATACTTGAATTATAAGCAATGAACACAAACACAGCTTTTATTCCCATACCAGAAAACAGAAAGACAGGGGCTGGCATTGTGGAACAATGGCTTAAGCTGCTACCTATAGCACTGGCATCCATGTGGGTGCCAGTTTGTACACTAGCTGCTACTCCACTTCTTCTTTTTCTTCTTCTGTTTTTTTTTTTTTTTATAAAACACACCAGAAGTTTATTGCTTGAAGAATACAGCCGATAAAATCACAAGAATGTCAAAAAGAAGTCACTAGGCTTCAAACATATAATACATTATCAGATGCAGTAAAATATCAATTAACCTGAATTCTGCATCAGAAAGAAAAACATATGAAAAAATATCTAAGTTTACTTGAGAAACAGATATGCTTAAAATAGAAAACACAAGGATGTTACAGTACAAATTAGAAAAGCCAACACTTAAAAAATATGGAATGCTTTATGAATTTCCATGTTATCTTTGTGTAGGGGCCATGCTAATCTTCTCTGTATAGCTCCAATTTTAGTATATGTGCTGTCAAAGTGAGCACATAGTTGCTCCACTTCTAACACAGCTCCCTGCTAACACGCTTGGGAAAGTAGCGGATGATGGCTCAAGTATTTGAGTCCCTCGATCCACATAGGAGACCCTGATAGAGTTCCAGGTTCCTAGCTTCAACCTAGTCCAGTTCCAGCCCTTGTAGTCACCTGGGGAGTGAACCAGCAGATGGAAGTTCTCTCTGGTGTATCTTCCTCTCTCTGTAATTGTGCCTTTCAAATAAATTAATTAATTAAAAATAAACAGGAAGACTTAAGTGGAAAATTCTGCATGAAAATAAAAAACTGACAACAATAAACAAGAATATTCTGCTATTTGTAAATGATGAATTTGATATTCTGATTCCCAGGGAACCCCAACAAGGGGATGCAACTAAAGTTCTAGTTTTAGCTAACTAGTTTTATCTGCAACTCTGGAATAATGGAATTAGGCATGTTCTACACACTACGCTAATGGGCAGATTTTGAGAAATATAGTTCTAAGATTCTCAAATCTTAGAGTGTTATGCACCAGTATGTTAAGTTTTGGTTTTTTTTTTTTTACTTTTATCTAGCAAGAACAAAATACCTGAAGTTCCCTGGAAGCCCCAGATGCTAAGAATTCATGCTTAAATTAATAAAGAGTACTCAGGAAGCATATTAAGTTTGATGTTGCAATGAAATAGTCATATGATTCTAAGCCTTAATTTTTTTGTGACAGGATATGAATGACATAAAAATATATGGTCAGAGAGAGCAACTAAGACAGTAGATTATGAAAAACCTAATGTGAAAACTAAGAATCGATTTGTCCTTGGATAAATAAATTTTTAAAAGTCTACACAGTTCTTCCACTATACTATATGTACATTGTAAAATATTTTTTACAGTTTTTTCTCCTATGAGTCTCTTGAGGGCAGGACACAGTTTGGAGTCCTTGGAGCCTAACAGAGACCTCAGAGAGTAACTCATGTACAATGAATGGCTCTCTGCTATTTTCTTTAAACCTTATCATAATCATATGTGGTAGGCACTATACTACTATTCTCAGTTTAATAAGAACTTGCCCAAGCCACACAGCAGCCTAACCCCAGGGCACAAGCCTTTCCTCACTGTATCACTAACTGACAGGAATAAATGAATAGCTTACTTTGTCAGGCTTCCTTAAGTTTTAGCAACTAATTTTATAAGTTCATTGATTCATCTATCAGGACAACTATAAAAACTCAAAAATGATCATAACAGCCTAAGACTGAGGGGCCAGGCAGATGATTGTAGGAACTGAGGTCTGCTTCTGGGCTTCACATTTCGAAGCTTTGGTGCTAACATTCACAGACAGGCATCTGGCACAACAACTGAGATACTACTTCAGAGTGTCTTGCTCAAGTCCTGGCCCTACTTTTGACCCAGCACCCTCAGCAAGGTAGCAGGTGATGGTTATTTGGGTCCCTGCTATCCACATGGGAAATCTGGATTCAGTCATGGGCTCCAGGCTCCAGTCTGGCCAACCCCTAACTGTTATGGGTTTTGGAAAGTGAACTAGCAGACAAAAGATCTCCCTGCATCTCTGTCTGCTTCAAATAAAATTAGCTATTTAAATATTTAAAACATAAACCATTACAATATAGATTCAGTTGGTAAACTGAATAATTTGTCATATAGTAGGAGTAGGAAGATGATAATCCATTACATCAGAAAACCAGGAATAATGAGGAGAAACAATCAAGTCCATTTTACATGGGGGTGGTGTGGTGGCAGGGCAGGCTAAATCATCTGCCTGGGGTGACATGAGTGTCAGTTCATGTCCCAGCTGCTCCACTTCCTGATCTACTTCCCTGCTTATGGCTTGGGGAGCAACAGAGTATGGTTCAAGTCCTCGGGCCCCTGCACCCATGTGGGAGACCCGGATGACATTTCTGGCTCCTGGCTTTGGATCAGTTTGGCTCCAGCTATTACATTACAGCCAATTAGGGAGTGAACCAGTGGATAGAAGATCTTTCTGTCCTCACCTCCCCTCTCTCTGTAACTCTGACTTTCAAGTTAAATAAATAACTTTTTAAAACTACCAAGTCCATTTTATAAGTAAGGAAATCAGTAAGAGCTTCAATCTTGGATTAAAAAAAATTTGTTCAGTCAGTCAAAGGGGATTCTTAAAATTATTTATTTATTTATTTGAGAGGCAGAATTAAAGAGTTAGAGAAAGAGAGAAAGAAATTTTCTATGGGGCAGCCTAACAGATATAAGAGCTGCAACAGCCAAGACTGGATCAGGCCAAAGTCAGGCACTTGGAACTCCAAACAGATCTTTGATAGGATAGGGGAGGACCAAGTACTTGGGTAATATTCCACTGCTTGCTAGGCACATTAGCAGGAAGCTGGATTGGAAGAGGAGCAACTAGGACTTGAACTGGTGCCCATATGAGATGCCGGCATTCTAAGTGGTGGCTAATCTTGGTGTACCACAAATCCCCAACAAAGAAATTTATATCACTAAGATCATGACAGTATCTCATCTGTATGACTCCAAATCAACAACACAAGAAGATAAATTATGGAAAAACAAACTTAATCTTGCATTTTGCTTAAAACAATCACTAATGAATTTTTTGGTATATATTATATTTACACAAACATCAATTTTCCAGAAAAATTATAATTTCAATGGTAAGCAGCAATTGTTTTTTACATACAAGAGCCAAAAAAGTATGAAAAGTAAATTTTACATATATGCAATTTTTCTTACATTTTAGCTTTCAAAAATCATTTAAAATAATTATTAAACTGTGAAACACTAATGAAAGTTCACCTAGACCAATTCAATACCACAATGAGTTGTCAAAACATGAGTAAAATAAAACACATTGGAGAAAAAACAATATTCTTTTACCCATTTTAATAAGATGTTGAAAATGTTTAAAAGATTGATACTTAGCTTTTATTATTAACAATGATTATCTCTAAATCTCAGCTTCCAGAAATATAGTAAAATCACATATAACAAAATTGTCTTAATGTTTTAGTTCCATTACAATGCCTAAAAACTTTGTGTGAGATTTTTACATACCTTAAACGTAGAAAGTCCATAAAGCCTCGTGGTGTGAATGGTTTCTTGAGAAATATTTGTAATGTTAGTTATAAAGTCTTCAAGGTATTTACAAGCTTGTTCCAGGTGTGCTGTGTTTATGATTATTTGCACTAACTAGGAGACACAAAATATTTTGGATAAATACAGCTATAAATAAAACCATGTGATTTTTAAAAATAGAACTATTACTTTCACCAACTATATCATTTCTGCTAATTCTACTACTGCAAGTGATTATCTGATTTCAAAAGCCTGCTGCAAATATAGATATGAATGCTAGTAAATATAATTTTTAAATGACTTTTTAGAGCATTTTTCAAATTATAAACATTTAGCAAGTTAAAAATAAGAACTTACAACTTTTTATATAAGGGCAGGCAATCAGAAATCAAAATAAAGTCCTCACATTTTCACCTACTATTCCCCACAATAAACCCTTTTTTCCCATATTCCTTAAATTTACACAGATGCTTGCTACTTTTTAAATTATGGAACAACATTCAGCAATAATTTAATTTATACCTATTATTTCATATATGAAATATTTGGTTTATGCATCTTTTTAACCTACCTCTGTTAAACCTATATGAGGCTTTTTAATAAGGTTCAGTAAACAGCTACTCAAAGTTCTGGTCAACAGCAGATTTGTGGATTTTCTAAGCATATCATCTATTTCTGTTGAGCTAAAAACAAAGGTTGATATTATTAAGTTTCCCATGGCAACTAAATAACAAAATTCACCAAATTTTATTTATTCCAAGTTATTTTTACTAAATAAACTATAACTCATCAAATCAGAAACTTGAATTCTTTTTAAAGATTCATTTATTTTTATTGGAAAGGCAGATCAGATTTACAGAGAGAAGGAGAAACAGAAAGATCTCCTATCTGCTGGTTCACTCCCCAAATGGCCACAACAGCCAGAGCTGAGCTGATCTAAAGCCAGGAGCCAGAAACTTCTTCCAGGTTTCCCATGTGGATGTAGGGTCCCAAGGTTTTGGGCCACCTTCTACTGCTTTCCCCGGCCATGAGCAGGGGGCTGGATGGGACATGGAGCAGCCCAGTTATAAAATGGTGCCCAACTGGGATCCCAGCAGATGCAAGGTGAAGATTTAGTCATTGAGCCATTGCGCTGGGCCTCCTCTCTCCTCTCTCTTAACTGTGACTTTCAAATAAATAAAAATAAGTCTTACCGAAAAAAGATACTCAATGGGAGAAGTGACTACCCTGGCAGGATTCTGTGGCAACAGCACCTGCATCCCCCATTAGAGTCCTTGGGTTCCATATCCAGTTCTAGCTCCTGGTACCAGCTTTCTACCAACACAGATCCTGGGAGGCTCCAGTGATGACTCAGGTGGCTGGATTCTGATCTCACATGTGAGAGATCTGTACTGAGTTTTTGGCTCCTGGCTATGGTCCAACCCAGTCCCAACTATTACAGGAATCTGAAGAATAAACCAGTGGATGGGGGCCTTCTTCCTCTCTGACTATGTCTCTCTCACACACAGCTGATCTTAGCCAAAGGCTGAGAAGCAATCTCTCTCTCTCTCTTTCAAATAAATAGACAGATGACAGACAATAGATAGATACTTTTAAAGATAAAGGACATTTTTACTACCTTATTATTACCTTTGCATTTTTTGTTGTTTTTTAAAAATTTAATTTTATTTTTTTTACCCTTGCATTTTTAAGATCTATGTAACAGAAGTAAAAACATACAAACTTAACCTATAGCAAGCTAACACTGTTAGTAAAATATGTTTTTCTTATGAGATGATAATCTATCACAGACACATGAAAATTAAGTTTTACTATTTAACAAAACAGTTTTGGTAAAGATATGTAAATTAATAACATACCTCCGGTGGAGTGATTCTGAAAACTTAAGGCTTGCATAAATAAACTCTTTAACTTGGATATAAATTTGAGGCACTGATTGAGACATGGGGAGTTTCTTTGGGAAAGACTGCTGTAGGAACAGAAAATTAACATGGATTTAAAATTTTTAGACAAAGAATGTAATCACCTAAAATATATAAAAATTAAATTCACTATACATTTTAATTAGTATCTGCATCAAAAACATATACTTCTATATTATTTTTGCATTTTAAAGAAAATCTAATATTTCTATTTACCTCTATTTCATAAATCACATTACTAGATTTATTTATTTTTATTAGAAAGGCAGATATACAGACAGAAGGAAGGTCAGTGAGAAGGATGTTCTGTCTGCTGGTTCACTCTCCAAATGGCCACAACAGCCAGAGATGAGGTGATCTTAGGCCAGGAGCCTCGTCTGGGCCTCTCATGCAGCTGCAGGGTCCCAAGGTTTTGGGCCAGAGAGCTGGATGGGAAGTGGGGCAGCAAGGACACGAACCAGTGCACATAAGGAATTCCCGCACATTCAAGGTGAGGATTTAGCCAAGAGGCTATTGTGCCAGGCCTATCCCATTTATTCTGAATTACTATAATACCTTAGAAAGCAGCTCTCCAACCTCTACACCGTCACACATTGGTTTATGTCAGTTATGTATAAGCACTTACCAAGTAACTGTTTTATCAGCCAACCTTAGAAAATTTACAGTCCCTACAAAGCTAAAATGTCTACAAAAGTTTTACCAAAATAAGTACTGTTATCCTTGCGCATGGGCCATGCTTATCTCCGTAAAGCTCCAATTTTAGCATAGGTGCTGCCGAAGCGAGCACTTGTCTTCACTTTCAGTGTAACGGTTGTTACAGCTGTGAAAATATCCTCAGCAACGTCATTCCTAGTTGTTAAACCCAGTGGACTCTCAATAGTTTTTCATATTACTGCAATTCTTAGAAAAACCTCACTTGCAAATAATCACCAACTCTTGTTGTTCTGACTTCCTAAACCTCTCTTACAATTCTATGGCTAAAATTTCCACAGGTCACCAACCACTCTCATAACTGCAAACTCCCCCAGCCAGTTCTTCATGCCATCACAACTTACTGCGGTCCAATCCATTTTCCACATGTAAGAAAGGTATTTATTTTATCTTTTTTTTTTGTTTGTTTGTTTTTTCTAAGGCTTTAGGCCATCCTCTACTGTTTTTCCAGGCAACAAAAAGGAAGCTGGAGGGAAGTGGTGCAACTGGGATACAAACCAGCACCCATATGGGATCCCGGTGCATGCAAAGCAAGGACTTTAGCTAATAGGCTATTGCACCGGACCTCATATAATCCTTCTTTTAAAAGGCCTCAAAAGGGAATCATCTTGTACAGTGATTAAGATTCTGCTTGGGATGCCTGCATCCCAAATCAGATGGAGTGGCTGAGTCCTGGCAGCTCCCAGCTTCCTGTTACTGCACACCTATGGACACAGCAGGTGACAGCTCAAGTACTTGGGTTCTTGTCACACTTGTGGGAGACCAAGATCCAGTTCAACCAAAGCGTTACAGCAGTAAACCAACAGACAGAAGATTTCTCTGGTTTCTGCCTCTCTGCCTTTAAAATAAAATGGACTTGGCCCTGGCACCGTGGCCTAGTGGCTAAAGTCCTCCTCTTGAATGCACCAGGATCCCATATGGGCGCCAGTTCTAATCCTGGCAGCTCCACTTCCCATCCAGGTCCCAGCTTCTGGCCTGGGAAAGCAGTCGAGGACGGCCCAAAGCCTTGAGACCCTGCACCCGCGTGGGAGACTGGGAAGAAGTTCCTGGACCCTGGCTTTGGCTTGGCATAGCACCAGCCATTGTACTCACTTGGGGAGTGAATCATCAGATGGAAGATCTTTCTCTCTGTCTCTCCTCCTCTCTGTATATCTGACTTTCCAATAAATATAAAATAAATCTTTAAAATAAAATAAATAAAATAAAATGGACCTGTAAGCTTTTTTTTTTTTTTCTAATTTAAAATCTGGGGCCAGTATTGTGGCACAGCAGTTATGGCGCAACAGGTTACGCACTGCCTATCATGTCAAATCCCACAGTGGAGCACCTGTTCAAGTCTGGGTTCCTCTGCTTCTGACTCAGCTCCTGGTCACTTCACCTGGAAAGCAGCAGAGGATGGCCCAAGACCTGCTCTCTCTCTCTTCTCTCTCTGCCATTCTGCTTTACAAATACATGAAAAAATTTTTTTTAATTTAAAGTTGCAAAACAAGATCCTCTACAGTGTTGAACATTTTAAAAAGAGTGTTCCACTCTTTCCTTAGAACTTAATACACTCAATACTTATTCTTCTATCTAATGTGGAATTTACCTAACATTAATATTACCTGCTCTAGGAATCTACCTAACATTTGGAACAATAAAATTTTAGCATCTACAGGAAAGTCCCTTCTTAACTTTATCAAAGTAGTAGTTGTGATGGTAATACAACCTTTAAAAGTTATCAAATTAGAATTTTTTAACACACATAAACACAAGACACAAAAGAGAAAATTCTGATTTCTAGTTTAAGATTCACCTTATAAAGTAATAAACACCAAATTTGTTTTTAAGAAAATTCTTAAGTTAAAAAATAGCTTGTACCTTTTCAAGGTCTGGATCTTGAAAGGGAAATTTACTAATGACAATTTTATACTCTTCTTCGCTGACAATAGGAATAGGGCTATAATTATCCTCTTCAAAAATGTCCCTGTTGAAAAAGCAGAATTGAAAACATACTATTAAAAAACCATATCATTAGCTTGACATTAGACAATGACTTAAAAAAAAAACTACCAAAAAGCACTTCTTGTCAATTGAAACTCCAAACAGGAAGGCACTATCTAATCATTTAAAATTCTGAAATTCAACACCAAGTAAGACTAAATTCCTCTTTCCATTACTTTGTTTCACATCCTCTCAGCATTTAGTTTTCAGTCTAGAACATGCTCAAGGACAACAGTCTGGAAAAGCTTGTTATCTGAATTTAAAGCAGATCCTTAAGAAGTATTTCTGCAACATTTCTTTAAAAACAATTTTTAAAAAGATTTATTTATTTTTATCGGAAAGGCAGATTTACAGAGAGAAGAGACAGAAAAATCTTCCCTCTGCTGGTTCACTCCCCAAGTGGCCATAATAACCAGAGCTAAGCTGATCCAAAACCAGGAGTCAGGAGCTTCTTTCAGATCTCCCACGTGGGTACAGTGTCCCAAAGCTTTGGGCCATCCTTGAATGTTTCCCAGGCCACAAGCAGGGAGCTGGATGCGAAGTGGAACACCCAGGACATGAACCGGTATCCAGATGGGGTCCCAGAACTTGCAAGGTAAGGATTTAGCCACCAGGTATTCATACCAGGTGCTGTCAAATTTCTTAATAATTGTGTGTGTTTACATTCTCTCTTTTCAAACAGGTTATTAGTTCTTGAAAATCAAACCAGTAAGTTATATTTGTTTATTTTATTAATACTTTAAATTAAAAAATAACTATAGTTAGCAAAGACAGAGATATTTACTTCTCATCAAATGCCTATGTGCTCTCCTACATAGCCCTTCTGTCATCAGGCATGGCCATATGACTGTTTTGGGATTCCCGTCCATACCTGGAAGTCTAAAGCATTTATGAGCCAGCTGTATAACCCTCCTTCTTCCTTCTGACAAGGAAGGTGAACACACATTAAGAAGGTAGAATCACAAATACAAATAGCTTGGATCTCTTCTGTGTATAAAACATTTTGGACATTTTGAGCCTGTGCTAGAGAAACTGCTATCTAATTATCAACTGATTTTCTTAAAATATTTATTTATGTGAAAGGCAGAGATAGAATGAAGAGAGACACAGAGAGAGATCCATCTTCTCAAATGGCTACAATGGCTTGGGTTGGGCTGGAGACAGACACCTCTCATGTCAGTGGAAGGGGCCCTAGTACTTGGGCCATTGACCATTGATTTTCCAGGTTCATTAGCAGGTAGCTGCACAGGAAGTGGAGCAACCAGGACATTTGAACTGGCACTCACATGGAATACCAGCATTGCAGACAATGTCTTGGACTGATCAGTCATTTTGACCATCTTCATAAATATATATATATATATATATATACACACACATATTATATATATGTATATACAAAGGCAGATTTACAGTAAGAAAAGGAGAGACAGGGAGAGAGGAATCTTCCACATGCTGGTTCACTCTCCAAATGGCTACAGCAGCTGGAGCTGGGCTGGTCCGAAGCCAGGAGCCTAAATTCTCCACTGGGTCTTCACATAGATGCAGGTCCCAAGGAGTTTGGCCATCCTTTGCCATTTTCCCGGGCAAATCAGCATGGAGCTTGACTGGAAGTAGGACAACTAGGCCTGAACCTGTACCAAGAAGGAATGCTGGTGCTACAGACTGAGGTTTTGCCAATTATATCACCATTCCTAGCTCCCTGACCAAACTTTTTTTTTTTAGATTTATTTTTATCGGAAAGTCAGATATACAGAGAAGAGGAGAGACAGAGAGGAAGATCTTCCATCCAATGGTTCACTCCCCAAGCAGCTGCAACAGCCGGAGCTGAGCCAATTCGAAGCCAGGAGCCAGGAGCTTCTTCTGGGTCGCCCACATGGGTGCAGGGTCCCAAGGCTTTGGGCCAACCTCAAGTGCTTTCCTAGGCCACAAGCAGGGAGCTGGATGAGAAGCCGTGCCACAAGGACATGAACTGGAGCCCATGAGATCCTGGCACGTTCAAGGCAAGGACTTTTTAGACACTAGGCTATAGTGCCAGACCCCTGACCTAACTATTAATGAACAGTTTAGCATACTATTTTTTAACATATATTATTTGCAAGGCTTTGAGCTATGATGAAAACTCCCTAGCTCATGAAGATCAAGATCCCTATTCTTGGGGCTGGCATGGTGGTACAGCAAGCTGATTCTCCACCTGCAGCACTGGCATTCTATATGCATCAGTTCGTATTCCAACTGCCCCATTTCCAATCCAGCTCCCTGCTTATGGCCTCAGAAAGCAGAGGATGACGGCCCAGGTCTTTGGGCCACTGAACCTATGCAGAAGACCCAGAGAAAGCACCTTGCTCCCAGATTCAGATCAACTTAGCTCTGGCTGTTGTGGCCATTTGGTGAGTGAACCAGCACATGAAAGATCTGTCTCGGCCTCTCCTCTCTCTGTAAAATTTGCCTTTCAAATACAAACAAATAAAACATATTCTTTTTTTCTAAGGATTTATTTATTTATTGGAAAGTCAGATATACAGAGAGGAGGAGAGACAGAGAGAAAGATCTTCCATCTGATGATTCACTCCCCAAGTGAGCACAATGGCCGATGCTATGCCAAGCCGAAGCCAGGATCCAGAAATCTCTTCCGGGTCTCCCATGCAGGTGCAGGGTCTCAAGGCTTTGGGCTGTCCTCGACTGCTTTCCCAGGCCACAAGCAGAGAGCTGCCAGGATTAGAACCGGCGCCCATATGGGATCCCGGAGCGTTCAAGGAGAGGACTTTAGCCACTAGGCCACGGAGCCAGGCCCAATAAAGCATATTCTTAAAAAAACCCTGTCCTAGGTCCCAGCACAGCAGCCTAGCAGCTGGGGTCCTTGCCTTGCATCAGGAGGGACGTTATTTAAAACCAAAAAGCAACAACAACAAAACCCAGTTCTAAAAATAACATCATATTGCACTCTTTAAGCAGATACAATCATCATTTGCCAGTTAAAATAAGAAATAAAAACACATGTATAAAAATATAGGCAGAAAAATAAACACAACTAAGCTTTTAATAATTATAAGAAGGAGGCCAATTTCTCTTTTGATGGCAATTAAAAGTGATATAGACATTAATGTACTTCAGATCTATGCTCTGCAGGCAAGAGGTTACAGCAAAAGTGATTTTCCTATTTACAGTCTCCAAGATTCATGAAAATTTTATGTATTTATATGAGAGGTAGAGAGACACAAATAGAAAAGAAGCTACTATCACTGGTTCACTCCCCAAAAAGCCTACAGCAGCTGCAAGGCAACGCTGAAAGCCTGAACTCAATCCAGGCCTCCCCAGGTACCTAGCTGCCTGAGCCATTCCCCTGCTACCTCCCAGGGCTTGCAGTGCCAGAAGGCTGGAGTCAGGAACTACACGCAAGGACCAAGTGTCTCTTCTAAATTTTCACTTCTCATTTAGATTTTTAATCTAGTTGTCATTTGTAAAAACAGAACTTCCTGGGGCTAGCACGGTGGCAGAGCATGCTAATCCTCTGCCTGCAGTGCCAGCATTCCATATCGGTGATCCACCTCCAACTCAGCTCTCTGGCAACGGCCCTAGAAAGCAGCAGAGAACAAATCCTTGGGACCATGTACCCACAATGGGACCCTGAGGAGGCGCCCAGTGCCAAGCTTTGGATCGGCCCAGGTCTGGCTGTTGTGGCCATCTGAGGAGTGAACCAGTAGATGGAAGATTTGTCTGTCTCTCCCTCTGTTTCTCTCTCTCTAACTCTGACTTTTAAGTTAAACAGTAAATAAAAATAAATCTTAAAAACAGAGCTTACACAAAAACAAAACTCAAAAGCTATACATTTCAGTTTCTAATACAGAATACCTCTGAAAACTTATATACTTGCTAACTGGGAAAAATTAGCTGTTACAGAAATCTGTATAATTCAAAATGTGCCATAAATGGTGAAGCCATTATGGAAAATAGCATGGCGATTCCTCCAAAAAAATAATGAAAGATAAATTTATTTTATAATTCAGTAATCTGCTCCTGGGTATAAACACAAAGCATTTGAAAGCACGATCTTGAACAGAAATATATATTCTCATGCTGATAACAGCATTAGCCAAATACAGAAATAACTTAAATCTCCACTGACAGGTGAACAGATTTTAAAAAAATGTGGTATATACACATTACTTAGCATTTCAAAAGGAAATTCTGACACAGGCTATGATATGGATGAACGGGATGATGAGATTAGGCTAAAGTAAACATGATCCAGACATATAAGTACAAGTTTTGCAGGATTCCATCATATGAAGTACCTATAGTAATCAAATTTGAGAGACAAAGTGGTGGTTGTCAGAGGCTTCGAAAAGGAATAAACAAGGAGTTACTGTTAAGATTCAGAGGTTCTATTTGGAAACAATGTGAATTATCTTAACACTACTGAAATGTTCACTCAAAGAGTAGGAGAAACAACAAGCTTTATGCTACATGCATTTTTTTCACAATATGCAAAACCAATTACTTTAGCACCTCACTTACTCACTGCATTAAGCATGACTCACCTGAAAACTCCAGCCCATTTCTTAAGCAGTGTTTCATTGTATTGATCTCTTATTTCAAATAAAAGGTCAAAGAGTCGGTTCACTGGGAAACCATATCCCTAAATTATTTTTAAGAAAAGCAGATAAACAAGCATATTAAAATATTCATAAAAATTTGGGGGGACACTAGAAACTCCAGAAAGCACACACTCAACTCACTGTATGATGTCTTACTGGCTTCTTTTCCTTGGTCAAATAAGCATGCTAATTAATTAATCTACCATTTTAAAACTAAAAAAGTTATCCCTAACTTTTTGTGCTACAGGCTGTCTCCCTCTGTCATTCTTCTCATAGTCAAACGTACAAACAAAATTAAATTCCCAACTCTTATTCATTTGTTTATTTTGTTATAAAAAATGTCACAGATTATCTCTTATATAAAATTGAATGATCTCATTCTCTCCGACCTCTGTTGGAAGCCAATAAACTGCTTGATTTTATCTTCTTTACAAATCTCTTTTAAACCTATCACTCTATCATCTACCCACATTTCTATCTTCCAAAAATATTCCTAGTGCCATTGCTGTACTTAACGACCTCAACATCTCTTGCTTAAGTCATTACAAGAGTTCTTCAACTGAAATTTCAAGCATGTGCCACTTTTAAATAGACTGTCACTCTTAAAGTCACCAATCAACAGTAAGAATTGTGATAATATGATTCCTCTGGTTTAAAACTTCAAAATGGACTTGGGCCCGGCACCATGGCCTAGTGGCTAAAGTCCTCACCTTGCATGCACCAGGATCCCATATGGGCACCAATTCTAGTCCCTGCAGCTCCACTTCCCATCCAGCTCCCTGTTTGTGGCCTGGGAAAGCAGTCAAGGATGGCCCAAAGCTTTGGGACCCTGTACCTGTGTGGGAGACCTAGAAGAAGTTCCTGGTTCCTGGCTTCAGATCGGCACAGCACCGGCCGTTGCACTCACTTGGGGAGTAAATCATCAGATGAAAGATCTTTTTCTCTGTCTCTCCTCCTCTCTGTATATCTGACTTTGTAATAAAAATAAATAAATCTTTAAAAAAACAAACTACAAAATGCACATAGTGTTACAGCTCCTTCTGAGTGTGTCAAGCAGGTTTTCCAGTATTCTACTGTTTCTTTTACCTGATTGTACCTTTTAACAGTCTGATTCTCTTTGAACTATATCAAATACTCAAGATTCAGGTGTATCCAAGTGCCAGTCTACAAAAAGATGGTAAATTTGCACTAGAAAACAAATCAATGCTCATGCCTGCACTGAGAAAGTCTAGCCTAATGAAAGATGCCAATTATGCTAAACTAGACCTGTACTTAGTGATACGGTAATTTATATTCTGACGAATGCTCCTATTATGAACCTAGCAAAAACATCTCAAACTAGTAACAAGCAGTTTGACGACAAGCAGATCCTAGATGACACTTTGAGTGGCAACTCTTTATATCATTAAGGATATTAAAAGTTCCTCAAGTTACTTAGAAATGAACCCAAAAATGAAGGCAGTCCTAAATAAAACATAGCTGTTATCCTACAGAAAACTCTATCACAAACATATTTATCACAAAATTTATGGAAAAAACAAAAAATCCACACTTAAAAAGTTTGTACAATATTGTCCCAGGTTTAAGAATGAAGCAGACAACTATTACTCTAGGATGCAAAGACTCATGATAAAGCTAACTATTTAATTTCCCATCACACACACACACACACACACACACACACACACACACACACACACACGCAGTCCTACTCTAAAAGATGTACTAAAGCAAGCAGAGAGAAGAATGATACAAAAGTCAAATATATTGGGAAAATAATGAACAGTCACCTCCCTTGTGGAAACTTACAGTTTAAATCTGCTCTGAGAAAATGTTTTGGAAAAGAAATCTGTTTTATTTCACTTAACATCTCTGAACACTTTTGATCACAAAATCCTTTTAAAAAGCAACAGCTATCATATTTAAGAAAAATGCAAGTCTACACTGCATACAAAGTTACTTCTAATTGCAAAATCCCAACGATTTAAGCATGAAAACAAGACAGAATTAAGTGTTCATTGTGGATGATCAAGAAATGGGAGTTAAGATAGAGGTATTAAAACTTGCAGACTGAGAAAAATCAAAAGTACTAAGATTTGAGACAATTTAATCTTATTTTTCACAAGAGAAAACAAACTCATAAAGTTATTTTCTCAGTCACAGAATATATGTCTAACTTGAAATTAGAAAGAAAATCAGTATATACGGATTCCAATGTGTTTCCATATAAAGTATCACAGTTTTAAAAATCAAGTAAGTTGGGAAATTAATAATCATTAAATCCATTTTCACAAAGTTTCTTTTCTAACCTCATTTTCTACAGTTTAGAGAACTTACAGACCCAGAATTAGTCAACCACTCAATTGGAGCAAAAGTCAAGGTATACACTGCATGATCCCAAAGCCTGTCCCCCTTACTGCCTCCTACTTATCAGGTTTTTAACTTTAGTCCAGAGTTCTTTCTGCTGTGCCATGTGTTCTTTCTCTGCAGAAATACTTTATATATTCTAACTGAATAGTAGGTATTTTAGCATGGTAGCATTTCCTGAATTCTATCAAAGCTGCTTAATTTAAAAAGAGCATAGTCTTATGGGATAGAGGAATACCAATATGTAAGTCAACATTTACTATTACCATTAATAATTACTACCATTAATCCACAAAAAACTAAATGAGCTCAGTCTACATTTTGTATACTATCAAGTGCTCAAAACAGTCATTAATTGAATATAGCATCACTTACTTGCAAAGTATCTGCAAATATTACAATAAGATTCTTCAACTCCAAAACAAGATCAGGATCAGTACAGTAAGACTGGGAAAGTACGGGATGGGCAGGTATGAGAGTAGAAACAGAAAAAAACAGTAACAACAAAACCAGGGTTACTTTCTTAAAATGTAAGATATAAGAATCTGAAATTATTTCTTTTCATATTCCAGACTTACAGTAAGTCTAAAATCTGGGTTAATTAGGTCCAAGTCTGGTTTACCTCTATTCAGTCTAAATTCTTAAGAATTTTATACAATATGATAGTACTAAAATAACTACAGTATATGCAAAATAAATTTTTTTTGAAATTTGTATAGACAAACTGGTCAAAATAATAAGACATATTTTAAGTCTTTATTTTAAGCCGAAAAGATGCTTTAAACAGAAACCATCCATTTTTACTATTCTTGTTTTGTTTATTCTTCATCTTGATAGAATGTTTATTTTTTCCAATATAGGAATGATAATTCAAGTGTTTTCATAAAAACTGAGACAAAACTTAATTTCGAAAGGATAGTGAAGTTTACTTTTCTTTTAAATGCACCTAATATGGCTTCGAATGTGATAGGTTCCACCGCAGACAAAACAGTATGATTCTAGATACTCAGAGTTGGCCATGACAAAACATACTGTTACTAAAGTTAGAAAAAGTTGTAGCTCACCAGTGTATCAAGAATCTACATTCCTGATGAATAAAACTGGAGTGCATATAGTCCAAATCACCCAAGTTAAGAATTCTCCTTTAACATCTTTGAAATCTTTACCACCAATTACAGAATCATTATCAATACCACAGTACAAAAATTTAAATATGGGGATATTTCCCCAAAAGCAATCTATTAACATTATCTTACGGAAAGGTCCAAACTGACCAACTACTATTTTCAAATCTTTCCATAACTAACATTATTTCCACAAACAGCATCAGAAAAATACTTGATCATTAATTTTATTTAAAAATTTAAAATCCTCTCACTATATAAAAATTTACTAATTTAAATGAGTTCAAATTTTGAAAATTGCAAATTTTTAAGCAATTCAGAATTGTAGTGTATTACTGTAAATTATAAAAGAATAAGTTCTATTGAATTTTAATAGTGGAGTTTATCTTATAAACAAAGAATTTGGAATGATCATTAAAAACCCTTTCTTCACAGTGCTTTTCAGTGAATGAAGAGGTCAGCTGAGACTAATGAGACAAGCTTAATTCTTCATTTGCTATAATGCTGGAATAGAAGTATCTTGGGAAGTCCCAGCTATTGGCAACACCACAGCCTGGTATTACCAGTCAAAGAAAAGCCTGACATTACTAATACTTACAAATAGCAATGACCAAAAACACAGAATAAGGCAGATAGAGCATTTCTTGATGCTATATAATTCAAAATCTCTAGAAGTAACTGAATTAAAATTTTAGCATCGTAAATTATCTGACTTACTGAATGAGCTCTAAGGACAGCAATTATCTTTGAGAGGGCCATGTTCCAAAGTTCATCAGTGTATGCCCTGGTTACTAATCCTTGAGTTACGTGTAAAATGTGATCTTCCACCACAAAGAACCTAAAAAGAGTAATTACCAACACAGCAGGTGGTTAAAAAAATTATTCCCAGAATTTAACATAAAACTAACCATAATGTCCATATTAGATACATACCCTACAATTTGGGTGAAGTATCTTCTATAGCCATCAACTGTTTCGTGCTTTAAATGAAAGATAAAAATCAATTTAAACCAATAAACAGCAAAACATAAAAGTTCCAAGTCACTATAACTTTATTAACAAATATTGAGAGCTGACTCTATGGCACATATTTTTGGGTATCGAGGATATATTTGGAAATAATAAAAGGTCCTTAGCTTTATGAAATATAAATTCAAAAGGAGATAGATAAGACACAAGTTACAGGCTTGTCCTCTACAATCCAGTCTCAATAAAGCCCAGGAAGGGCCCCTCCCATCCACTTCTCTTGTTTCTTCTCTCTCTCTCTCTGGGTAACAACAGTGATTATTAGCAGGCAGTGGGAAAAAGGGTAATGTACTGTCCTATAATTTTCTATCTTTACATATTTTCAAAATGATGAAATATTACTATAAATATATAAGTTATTTGTAATGATTTATTTATTTGGAAGGTGAGGAGAGGGAGATCTTTCACATGCTTGTTCACTCTCCAAATGATGGTAATGACCAGGGCTAGGCCAGGTTGAAGGCAGATACCAAGAGCTTTATTCTGATTGCCCTCATGGGTGCAAGTGCCCAAGTTTTTGAGCCATCCTCTGCTGCTTTCCCAAGCAGGTTAGCAGGCAGCTGGATTGAAAGTAGAGCAGATGGGACCCAAATTCAATACCTATTTGGGATGCCTGCTTTACCTGTTACATTATAATTCTATATCTGGGGGGATTTATTAATACTTCTTAGCTTTAAAAATATTTTACCAAATGTTTTATATTTCTTAGTAATTGCTTTATAATATGGTATGTTAAAAAATCTTCAGTGTTTCAGGTGAACTTAAAAAGAATTTGCTTCTACAACTGTTCAAAGAAGATTCTGTAAATCAAATCTTTCAAACATGTTCTTTCGTACTCACATTCTCAGTCTATAAGACACTAAGACATACCTAAAAAGCTACTAAGCTTGTGGATTTTTCTACTTCTAATAGTTGTAGCAACTTTCCTTCAAATATTTTAATTTCATCAAATGCTTGCAGGTTTAGAATTACCATTTTTAATTCAAAGGCACAAATATTTCCTTTTTTCTAGATTTTTTTAACCTCTACACAAGAAAGTATACACTCAGCTTCTACTCCTGTGCTGGTTACTCTAGAAATCAATTATTCATCTTTAAATAATCAACATATATAACTAATTAGTGTTTATTCTGGACAATTTAGATATTGTAGCTTAATGTCTCTAATTTCCATTGCCGTTTGATGTTTATGCTACTGTAACATATATACATACATATGCATATACATATATACTTTTTTCTTATTGCTTAGTTTTTACTTCATAGTCATAACTTTAAGTCTGTAATCTGGCTGGATTTGGAGGGGAACAGGGAAAACTCCAGGGAGAAAAGACTACAGGGTAGTGACAGCAGATGGGATAGAGGGGTGCTATCCTTAATCCTGCTGTTAAGAGGAAACACAAGTCAGATGCATGGGAGTTTACAATTGGCAATACTAATCTCTTTGCTTGCCATTTCAGACCCATAGTTTTCCACAGTTCAACCACTTGTTCCTTTTTTACTCTGCCAAAGGAACACATACTTGCCACCCAACTATTCAACCTTGGCAGTCCACATGAAAAACTAGAAACCATTTGTGTTGGGTACAGCTTTTGCCGTGAGTAAGACCCCAGAACCTCTATGCTTCAGGGTGAAGTGATCATCATACAATTTCCTTCTGCACATGGTCTTGCCATTAGTGCTGTCATGGGTGTGAAGTCACCACGCTGGCACATAAATCCTGGAGTAATCCAGTGAAAGCACGAACCCTCATCACCAATCGGTCTCTCCACGCTCAGAGCATGGACGTCTTCTGCTCTCTCTGGAACTTTGAACGGTGATGCTGAAGAAAGCGGGCTGTCCATGGCGGCAGCATGTGGCTCTGAGCAACAAGGGTGTCTGCAGAGCGCTGCCACGTTGTACAGTTCATAAATTGTACTATTCTTTACAGTCTATATAATAATACACATATTTGTACTTCCTTTGCTATCCATTTTTCTCATGTCTCATTGTTCCCTTTATCGTTTCCTTAGTAAGAGAGTCTTGGTGGCAAATGCTGGTCTTAGAAAATGTCCATCTTTGGCTTTGCTTTACTGGATTTTGGATCAATAATTTTTTCTCAGTACTGAAGATTTTTTGCTGTTTTATTAGGAAAATGTCTTTGTGTAGATGTTCTGTTTGTCTTTTAAAAGACTTACTTCTTTTTATTTTAAGGGCAGATTAATAGAGAGGAGAGACAGAAGATTTTCAATCTGCTGGTTCACTCATCAAATGGCAGCATCAGCCAGAGCTGAGTCAATTAGAAGCCAGAAGCCAAAAGGCAAGAGTTTTTCCTAGGTCTCCCATGTGGATGCAGGGTCCCAGGGACTCGGGCCGACCTGCACTGCTTTCACAGGTCACAAACTGGCAGCTGGATGGGAAGTGAAGCAGCCAGGACACGAACCAACACGCAAATGGAATGTTGGCACTTGCAGGTAGAGGATTGGCCAGTTGGACCATTGTGCCAGCCCCGGTATTTTGTTTTTAAAGGCAAGTTTATTGAGGCATATTTTATACACAGTAATTTTTTTAGATATAGAGGTTTTTCTACATGTAAAGTTCAGGGAGTTGTGGCAGGTATGTAGACAGTTACGTAATCACCCCCAAAATTAAGATGTGGAACATTTCCCTATGCAAGTTCTCTTGTGCCCCTCTGTAATGAATCACTCTGCCCAACCCCCAGCCCTTACCCACCACTGACCCATTCTGTCCTTTAGTTTTTTTCTTTTTGAAAATATCAAATAACAGATCATATTGTACATAACGTCACTATATCTCAATTTTTTCAACTAAAATAGTGTTTTTGAGATTTATCATATAATTGCATATAACAATTTATTTGTAGTGCTAATTAGCATTTAATTATGTAGATTATAATAATTTATTTATTTTATTTTTAGTTCTATTTATTTTAGATGTACTGTAATTTATTCAGTAATTAACAGATATTCAGGATTATCTCCGGTTTCTGAAATTTATGAAAAAATTACTATAAACCTTCACATATGAACCCAAATGCAGAGACACAGTTTCATTCTCAGAAGCAGTACTTAAAAGCACTACAATTGAGTTATGTATGTTTAGCATTATAACAAACTGCCAAACCATTTTCAAAGCAGCAATATAATTTTTATACCTAATCACCCAAATATGAAAGCCCTAGTTCCTCTACATCCTTTACATCACTTTCATTGTCTTTTAAAAAAATTTTTAGTCATTCTAAGAACTATGTAGTAGTATTTCATTATAGTTTTGGTGAAAAATTATTCTAAACATCTTGTCACGTCTCTCTTATCCCTAAATTTTAGCTATTGTGTTACACAAATTCTTTCTAGATTTTGGACACATGTTCCTTCTTGCACATGAGCTTTTTCAAACATTTTCTCCACTATGTATCTTGTGTTTTCATTTTCTTGAAAATGGCTTTTGAAGAGCAAAAGTTTTAAATTGTAACAATCAACTCAGTAAGTTTTTCTTTCTTTTATGGTTCATGCTTTATGTATCTCACATAGAAAAATAATGCTGACTCAAATTACAACTATCTTATCCTCTTTTTTCTTTCCTGAAAGTTTTGTAATTTTGATTTTATTTGTAGGTTTACAAGCCATTTCTTGAACTGTTAGATAATATAAGTTATCATTAATTTTTTGTATATGGATCATTTAATTCTCTGTGGGTAGAAGACAGACTTTGTATAAATTCAAGTCTTGTGTATTTGATAGCAGCTGTTCTATGGCCCAGAATATGACCTGTTATGGTTAATGTTCACAGAAATTTGAAAAGCAAATGTTGCTTTTTTGGCCAGAGTATTCAATAAATGCCACTAAGAAAACAAAAAGACACTTAGATGCTGGCTGATAATGTTGCTTGAATCTTTTTCTATAACATTCCACAATTCCATTATGAGGTTCCTGAGAATGTACTTCATTTTACTTATACTTTGGTTTTTTTCTGTAGATTTCTATTTCTTATCTGCCCTAAAAATTTTTAGTAATACGACATTAACTCATAATTTCCCTTCAATAGTTCTCCTGAGGTAAATGCTACATTAACTGCCCCATTAAACCAATGTGAATTTCTGCATTCATTGAGCTTTTCCTGGCTCATGGTTTGTTATATATTCAGATATATTCAGACATAACTTTCATAATACAATTCATTCTTTTTCATACGCAGTTGCTATAAGTTTCAACAAACATATCTTCTCATGTAGGTTTTACTAGGGTCAAGTTTCTCATCCACTTAGTTTTTGGCCTGACTACTTTCTTGCCAAATCTTCAGTATGTCTCATGAAGACACTGAACAGTTGGTTCACTGCTGCACTCTTGGCGCCTACACCAATGATTAGAAATGGCAGATAATAAATAGTTACAGTTGAACAGCGACACAAGATCTGAAGAAATTAAAGTAACACAGAAGGTGAATAACAAAACCAATCCACAAACTTAACATAACTTACCATACTTGACTGCGGCTGCAACACTAGTCTTGCTTGTTTCTTTCTTTGTTTTCGGTAATAATTTTCAAACGTTTCCTCATCACCCTAGACAATGAGAAGTACACACACTCACAGATATACACATATTTGTACCGCTAAAACAGATACTTCATTACCTCCAAGAGTCTGTTTAAATTCTTTATCTGGATTATAAATGCTGAATGGCACTTCACATTGAGGGTCAAGAAGAACTTGTTAGCATTATAGTACAAAGATTAGGAAGAATAAAAAGTTCAAATGATTTCATATTTACCCAACTTATCACATAAGCTTTACGCATTTTTGACTGATCAAACTATGGCTATCAGCAGTGAAGGAGATTAGTCATGAACATGTTGCAAAAGGTGTGCATGACCTGTAGTTTTCTTCCATCTCCTACTTCATCTCTTGCCACTCCTTAACTGTTAGTATATTCAATACACTAGTCTCTCTTCATTTCCCAGTTTTTGTGTAAAGCTTTCTATGAAATATGCTTCCCAGTTTCCTTTCCCCATATGATTTTTACTTAACTTCAGTGACTCACCATAGGCGTGACTTCTCTAGCTTTAGAAGGCTTATTGTTATTACCCAATCAACCTGTACGTTCCTGTTATAACACTTATTTATCACATTGTGCCATAGTTTCCTGTCACCCATGTGGGAGACCTAAGAGCTCGTGTGAATTTTGTTAGCTAGCACGTACTAAACTTGGGGAGTATGGGGACTTGTTTCTTAGAATACAGAATACTCAATAAATGAATCCCAAAATCTGTTTGATGAATACATAATACAATTAATACAATATGAGGAGTCAGCCTTAAGAGTTTTAAATGATATAACAAGAGTTTCCAAGGAGACTTGGATTGGAAATTCTAGGGAAATAACGGATCCTGTTTTGTTTGTTGTTGTTTGTTTTGTTTTGTTTTAATAAAAGGGGCATGCCTAGAAACTCTAGTCTATATTCACAATAGTAGCTCTTTTCTAAATGTTGGCACTTTATTCAAATCCCCTTAAAACCCTTTTATGTTTTTTGTTTTAAAGATTTATTTATTTTATTTGAAAGAGTTACAAAGGTGATGGGGGAGGGAATGATGGAAAAAGAGAGAGAGGAAGAGATGGAAAGAGTGAGAGCTTCCATCCTTTGGTTTATGTCCCAGATAGCTACCAATGGCCAGAGCTGGGTCAGTCTGAAGCTTGGCGTCAGGAGCTTCTTTCGGGTTTCCTACAACGGTGCAGGAACCCAAGGCCTTGGGCAATTTGCTGCTGCCTTCCCAGACACCAGGAGGCAGCTGGGTTGGAAGTGAAGCCACTGGGACTTGAACTGGGATCCTGGTGTTTGCAAGGGGAGGATTCGCCAATTGACCCATTGCACTGGGCCCACTTAGCACAAATTTTTGAAGACTCTTGTACATACACATATTAACATATAAATATAAAACACACTTACCAAAACAGAATAAATGTGTAAACATCGGTAAACAGGGGAAAAATCAACAAGATCTTGAACAGTTAAGACCTGAAAAAAAAAAACTTTTTTTTTTAACTTACAAATCAAACTATTAGTCAACTCTTTATTTTATTTAAAAAATTATTTTTGATCTTTTTACTGGTCAATTCTTGGAATGTAAGTTAAAGAAAGCAATTCATGGACTTTGTCTTGCAACATTTATTCAGTTTCTTCACAGAAAGCACATGATATAACACATGCCCTTTTTAATATCATATTACCATTTATTCAGTAGTTTATTCTTTAAATGTTTAATATCCTAGTTATTTTAAATGAAGAAAAACTGTATAAGGGCACTTCCAAAAGTTCATTGAAACTACAATTTAAATATAAATTTATTTTTGTACAGAAATTTTTAAAATCTAGGGTCTACAAAGAGTTCATGGAAAATATATATTTTTAAGAAGTATGCATAAATTACTGGCATATTACATCTTTAATATATTTAGTGATTATTAGAAAACTGCTAAGAGTAACTAGAGATATCCTACTTTTTCTCTGGTAAAAATTAATATGGATTTATGATTTAGCCATAGACAAAGTTTCTCCCACAAGGTAGTAAGTTAAAACACTGTCAGACCCACTCTAGGGGCTACTACCAGAGAAAGAACATAGCCACTTGAAACTATGATGTCCATAAAGTTGCATCCTGAATTTTGGAACCTTATAATGTAAAAAACCCTTACAACTAATGAGTATAGTAGTTAAAAATTCTCAAACTTGAGAAAGACATAAGTGAACTCAAAATACTTTCCAAACGCTATTAGGGAAAATGATAAAAAATAAAACGTGCTAACAGTATAATGCAGTTGACTAAAACAAAGATACAGCAAATTTCCTGTTATGAAATGGAATGTGGGTGTATGGTTGTGCTGAAACTACTAGCAGTTAGATGTGCAATACACACTAGGAAAAATTAGGAAAGAAGACTAGATGGCGCATTTTCACAATTTTTACCTTCAAGGAAGAAGAGAATACAGAGATCCTCTAAATATTAGGAAAGAATTCAGTGTATTAACCAAGACACATGAGCTATGTCAACATTATCTTTCTAATACTGTTCACCTGTCTGTACTCAGGACAACCGCACACACCCACTGCATATGTACACATGCCTATGGATTTATAAATACATACATGTATGTCAGTGTGTATAGTCTATTCCCATATACAAAACAAAAATGTACCTGTGGAACACTAAGCTGTTGCCCAAGTCACACGGTTCTAAAAAAAAGTTCTTAGGTTAGAAGTTTAGCACAGGGCCTAAGATGCTACAGGGTTGTCCACATCTCGTATCAGAGTGCCTGGGTTAGATTCCTGGCTCTGCCCCCCAATTCATCTTCTTTTATCATTTTTTTTAAGATCTATTTATTTTTATTAAAAAGGCACAATTAGAGAGAAGGAGACACAAAAGGATCTTCTGTTCACTGATTCAGTTCCCAAGTGGCCGCAACGAACAGAGCTGAGCCAATCTAAAGACAGGAGCCAGGAGCTTCTTCCAGGTCTCCAGTGTGGGTGCAACGGCCATCCTCAGCTGCTTTCCCAGGCCACAGACACGGAATTGAACAGGAAGTGGAGAAGCCAGGAAATGAACTGGTGCCCATATGGGATTCTGGTGGTTGCAAGGCGAGGATTCAGACACTGAGCCATTGTGCCGGGCCCATTAGCTTCCTTCTAATGCATACCTGCAGGCAGCAGGTATGGACTGAGTCCCCAAATCCCAGTTCATCCCTCGCTCAGCTCTGGCTGTGGCAGGCATTTGAGGAGTGAGTCAGTGGATGGAAGCTTGCTCTCGCCATCTGTCTCTCTTGCTATTTCTGCCTCTCAAATTTCTTTTAAAAACTCAAGAAAATTTTCAAATTTACCACAGATAAATCTTTTTATGGAGGATTTACTTACTTATTTGAAAGGCAGCATTACAGAGAAAGAAGGAGATACAGAGACAAAGAAGAGAGAGAGAAATTTTCCATCTACTGATTCACACTCCAAAGGCTGCAACAGCTAGGGCAATACCAGGCCAAAGGTCTCCCATGCGGGTGGAAGAGGCCCAAGCACTGGGCTCATCTTACTCTGCTTTCCCAGACACTTTAGCAGGGAACTGGACCAGAAGTGGAGGAGCTAGGACTTGAACAGGTACCCACATGGGATGCTAGTGTCACATGTGACAAAAACCTACAACAGCACAATGCCAGCTCCCCTACTACAGTAATTCTGACTGATCACTGGAAAAATGCATACTTTTATGAATTATAGTAGAACATCTAGGTTCAACTATTCATAGCTTATACTTACAACCTGTAATAGTCCTCTGTCAGTTTTGTTTTCCTGTCAATTATGTAGTCTAACATTTCAGAAGACTCAATTGCTATAAATTCATTATAATATAGGTTTACTTTGTACATGACAAGACAAACAAATGTATGCTATGATCCAAAAGAAAAAAGTACACCCAAGAACAGACAAAGAAACCCCCTTACCTCCTCTTCATTCTCATCTTCATCCTCAAGTACATGTTTCAATGTAATTTCATTCCTTTCTCCTAGAATTCTTTCATGATTGATATAGACATTCTTTCCAAATTTCACATTACTTTGCTTCTGCAGAGCAACACTGAAGGTCTTCTGGTGCTGTGCCTATTACAAAGGGAGAAAAAAGTCAGACTATTTCTACTTCTATTATAGTCAAAATTAGTTAAAATGTATGGTCACTGCATATTCTCATGGATTTCTGTATCTAGGAACTATCATGATATCACCCTGTTCATTCACTCTTCCTTTATGAATAGTCTTTAAGCATTTATCAACTTTATTCTGAAAGACTAAGAATTAACTTTTGGCTTTGTTGTCTTCTCTCCTGTATTTTTTTTAAAATATATTTTTATTTTGAATTTTGAATTACAAAATTGTGGGACAATTTAATATAGTCTGTGCTCATTTTATTCCTTCTAGTTCCCTAAATTTCCTTGTTTTTGGCTTTTTGAAATTCATTTAGATTACTGAGTTCAGCCTTTATTTCTTAAATTACAAATTTAAGGTTATAAATCTCCCTTTAAACATAATTTGTACTCAGCCGACAAATTTTGATTGTCCTACTTTTTACAATCCCATTCAATATATTTTCTGTTTTCAATTCATAGGTTATTTAAAATGTTATTCTTCATTTCTAAAAGTGCAAGGATTTTTAATTACTTGTTACTGGCTTCTGGAGTAATTCCAATGTAGTCAGAGGATACACTGCTGCTTCAGTTCTTTCAAATTTACCAGTATTTTCCATATGGACAAGAACTTAATTTTGGTAGGTGTTCTTGAAAAAAATGTACATTGTGCAATTTATAGGATGCACTTTTTCATATGTGTCAGTTAAGTCATGGTTGTTAATCATATTACTAAAGGATCTATTTCCTTAATGGTTTATGTATTTATTTATCTTTGTCTGCTGGCCCTACTAGTTACTATAAGGAACAAACCCTCACTTGTATATCAGTACATGGTAGAGTACATAAAAGAGTTATATATAGAGAGAAAGACAGAGAGAGATTGTCCACCTGCTGGTTTGCTCCCCAAACAGCCACATTAGCCAGAGCTGGGCTGGTCTAAGGCTCAGCTCCAGGAGCTTCCTCTGGGTCTCTCCATGGGTGCAGAGGCCCAAGGACTTGCCCTCTGCTGCTCTCCCAGGTACATTAGCAGGTGGAACACAAGTGGAACAGCCACAGCTCCAACTGGCATGCATATGGGATGACAGTGCCACAGGTGCTGGCTTTACCAGTTATACCACAGTACTGGCCCCCAGCACATTTTTTTTTCACTGTGACTTTTAACCTAATAGACAAACAATGCAAGGAAACTATCAGTCAGCCAATTGGGTCAGTTACCATTTATTTCATAAGAAAAAAAACCTAAAATTGAATTAATGCTATAAAGGCATAGTAACATTAATCACATTATAAAAACCAATTCATTTAAATTTACAAAATGATAAGACAGCAAGAACACATGACAGCATAGCCATATTTACACCATGTTAATGGCAGAAAAAATGACCCCAAGGGATGTCTTCAACAGAAAGGCAATGTAGTAAGCTTGGCATAAGTTCTGCTTTGTAGCTTCTGTTCATTATAGCAAAGTTTTTCAGTCTACCAAATACTTAATTGAGATGAATAAAAATAATATCAAAAGTAAAATTGAGGGCCCAGCACGGAGGCACAGTGGTTAAGGTCCTCGCCTTGCACGCCCGGGATCCCATATGGGCGCTGGTTCTATCCCAGCAGCCCCGCTTCCGTTCCAGCTCCCTGCCTGTGGCCCGGGAAAGCAGTCGAGGATGGCCCAAAGCTTTGGGACCCTGCACCCACATGGGAGACCAGGAAGAGGCTCCTGGCTTTAGATCGGCATAGCATCGGCCGTTGCGCTCACTTGGGGAGTGAATCATCAGATGGAAGATCTTCCTCTCTGTCTCTCCTCTCTGTATATCCACCTTTCCAATAAAAAAATGATAAAAATAAATCTTTAAAAAAAAAAAAAGTAAATCGAAGGGCCAGCATTGTGGCACAGAAAGTTTAGCTACTGCTTGTAACATCATCATTCTGCAGAGGCAGCAGTATTAGTATAGGTTGCTCCACTTCCAACCTAGCTCCCTGCTAATGTACCTGCGAAAGCAGAAGATGACTCAAGGTCCTGGGCCTTGCATTACCCATGTGCAACTTCAAGTCTTGGCCACTCCATTTCCAATCTAGCTTCCCATGAGTGCGGCCAGGAATGCAGGGGATGAGAGCCAAAGTACTTGGACCCCTGTCACCCATGTGAGAAACTCTTTTGGAGTTCCAGGCTCTTGCCTCATGCCGACCCAGCCAGGTTTGTTGTGACCGTTTGAGGAGTGAACAGCAGATCTCTCTCTCTCTCCTTCTCTCTGTCTTTCTCGCCTTCTGTCTCTCCTTCTCTATGATGGTCTGAATTTAAAATATTTACATAAATAAACATTTTTAAAAGAGTCACCTATTTTTATTTGAAAGGCAGAGTTACAGAAGGAGACAGATCAAGAACTCCCATCTACTGGCTCACTTCCCAAATGTCCACAAGGGCCAGGGCTGGGCTAGGCCAAAGCCAGGAGAATTTCTTCTGACTCTCCCATGTGAGTGCTGGGGCCTAAGCACATGGGGTCTCTTCCACTGCCTCCCCAGGCATATCCGGAGGAAAACAGATCAAAGTGGAACAACTGGGTCCTGAAACTGCGCCGATAAGGAGGCAGGCAGCACTTTTACAGATTATGTCACAACACTGGCCCCATACAAATATTTTAAAAATGATTTGAAAATCAGATTCTCTAATGATCATGTGTATTAGCAACTAAAAATTAATTTTGAAAAAATGTATACCACAAGTCTTTTATCATTAGAGTACAGCTCCAATTTTATTAGCATAAATCATATGTGTTAATTTTCAAAATCAGTACATCTTCAAATAGTAAGCTACTGAACAAAAGCAAATTAAGAAAGAGTAACCAAACACCAGAGATCATCTATGAATCTATTTATTTGAGATATATTAAAGAGGTAAATCCACAGAGATATAACAAGAAGAGTTCCCCAAGATGGAGGACTGGGGATCTTAACAGCATGGCTTCTTTGTGGGATGATGAAAATGTTCTGGAACTAACAGAAATGATGATTGTCATGCTTGGAGTGGCAAGATTGGCAGCAATCCATAACTGTTGAACTATCAAAACCACTTGAGCAAGAATCTCGGAGCATGCCCCACTTCAGGGACCTGGGATGAATGGGAGATTGGGTGGGGCTTCTCCCTTAATATCCCCCTTTACCTCAGATACAAGAAGGAAACAATGTGGAAATAACAGTCTTACCCACTTTCCTGTAGCCCTTGAACCTTTTTACCCTAATTAACTATGTAAAGAATGTAAAAATAAATTTTAAAAAATGTATGTTATGACAAAAAAAAAAAGAAATGATGGTTGTCTAACATTTACTAATTACAGGTAAATTACTTATTTTAAAATGCTTTTGTTATCTGAATTTCATCTCAGAGAAAAAGAAAAACAGTAATAGTATACTACTATGCAAAGCTAATTAAAAGATGTAACAGAAAAATCTTATTAATAGTAATCCTTTAAAAAAATCAAAATAGGAAGTATAACTCATATACTTATTACTGGTTTCCTGTGATACATTTCTTTAACAAAATATTAACAGGTGTATTTCTTTAATTAAATTTTTAAAATGCAGTATGTAATACTTGAGGTAGAGGTTGGGCTGGAAATCATGCTGAGCATGGCTTCATTTATTAATGTTGGAATTATTAGAACTCTTAAGAGCTAACTCTTGGAAATTGCAGTTAAAATATAATCATTTCTAAAAAGTTTCATTATTGAAAATTTCAAATATGAGCAAAATAAACAAGTTAATACAGTGAATTCCCAGTTACCATTACTTACCTTCAACAACTACTATCTTTGCTTTCTTGTTTCATCTACACATTTATTTATCTACTCACTCTACACGCAACCAAATTACTCTCTTATTTTCTTTGAGTAAGATTCATATATGAGCGTACTTTAAAAAGTTCAGAGAAAATGCCTGTCATGGAAAAAACTGCATGGATTTCAAAATTCTTTGCACTTAAATAAACTTAGCTTTCGAAGAATCATCTTAATTTATTTCTTGAATGATCTACTTATTTATCTGAAAGGCAGAGTGACAAAGAGAGACAAGGACAGACAGATCTTCTATTCACTGGCTCATTCTCCAAATGGCCGCAACAGTCAGGAGTCTGCAAGCCCTTTGGGGTCTCCTGTGCGGATGACAGAACCCCAAGTACTCAGGTCATCAGCCACTGCTTTCTCAGCTGCATTGGCAACAGCCAGCACTCCAAAACAGGATGCTTGTGTCATAAGCAGCAGCTTAGCTGCTGGCCACAGCACTGACCTTACCCAATAGACCTATCTAATGATAATTTTCCATGAACACTTTGAAGTTCCTTCTGCAGTGAGATATATAGATCTCACGTATTTTGTAAAAAAAAAAAAAATCATACATTTCCAACTTCTGAGAAAATGCACTTTTGTCCTTTCCCAGGCAATCTCCCGTCAACTACAGTTTTACCTGGATTGTGTTTCCTCTCTTCATCTTAAATTAGCTTTTCCTGCTTTAGAATTATATTTAGAATTATATTTATATTAACAAAGGTCACAATTCATGCCATTTTGTGTTAAATTTTTGTGGCTCAATATATCTGTGATATTTATTTGTGTAGCTGCATTATCAGTAATGTGTTCTTTTGTGCTGCTAAGTAGTATTCCATTGCAAGAATATATTATAATTAGTATTTCCATTCTCCCTCTGATCACATTGAGGTGTCACTAATTCAGTGTCACCTAAACAAACTCTATAAACATTAAGAGGCTATATTTTCATTTTTTTATTGATAAAACCTGGAAGTAGAACTGCTGACTCTAAATGTATTACTTTTATAATACTCAAACATTTTCCTATTGTTTGCCTACTTGTTTCTGAACTTAGGATATTTTTTTCAAGATTTATTTATTTTTATTGGAAAGGCAGATATACAAAGAGGAGGAGAGACAGAGAGGAAGATCTTCCATCTGTTGATTCACTCCCCAAGTGACCGCAATGGCTGGAACTGAGACAATCCGAAGCCAGGAGCCTCTTCTGGGTCTCTCACAGGGGTACAGGGTCCCAAGGCTTTGGGCCGTCCTCAACTGCTTTCCCAGGCTACAAGCAGGGAACGGAAAGGAAGTGGAGCAGACAAGATATGAACCAAACCGGCGCTGAGATGGGATCTTGGTGCATGCAAGGTGAGAACTTCAGCCACTAGGCTACTGTGCTTGCCCCAATACTTCAATTACTTCTAAAGATGGAACAATTTAGAACATTAGCACAAAAGGGCTCCCTACCTCACTCTGTGTCTACCACTTTTTAGCTAATTTTAGAACCGTTCTGGCTAACAACAAAGGGTAATATAACTTTGCACATATGGAGAAGACTGCTGAGAGTTTGGTTGGTGAGTAACTAAAGATAAGTTATACTGACTTAATTAAAGAAGGAACAACTGTAAATTCAAAGAGAATATGAACAAAAATCCATCCTGAACAAGAATCAGAAAAGATAAGAAAGAGTAAATAAAAATGTTTTATAAACATTAAAGTGAACTTTACATGTAGTTTATATCCCAGATTACTAAAAAATATTAGATGAAAATTCTTTTTAATCTCACCTGTTTCATTGCTGTTTCACCTATTTTGTCAGAATGTTTTCGAATGCTTTCCAAAAAGTCTTTGAGATCAGACATGGAGATTTCTTTAATATCCTCACGGAGTTTAGGAAGATTTTCTATCATTAGCTGACAAAACCGGTATTGACTAACCCGAGGGAAGTACACATTCTCTAATTGCTCCATAGTTTTTAAGGCAGAATAATACCTGTGACAAATTAAAAAGAAAACTCTATAAAAAGTGCTTATCACATGTATTTTATAAGCAATTGCAAGCCATTAAAAAAGCTACCATTCTCATCAAAAGCCACAGTAGGGTAAGGTGTCTGGCACAATGGTTAAGGTAGCAGTTCACACGCCCAGGCTGCCTATCAGGTTGCCAGGGTTTTGTGCCTGCTTCTGCTCTCGATTCCAGCTTCACGCTAAGGCACAGCCCAGGAGCGGCACAGCCCAGGAGCGGCACAGCCCAGGAGCGGCACAGCCCAGGAGCGGCACAGGGCAGGAGTGGCACAGGGCAGGAGCGGCACAGGGCAGGAGCCGCACAGCCCAGGAGCCGCACAGCCCAGGAACCGCACAGCCAAGGAGCGGCAGCGAGGCTTGAGTAACTGGCTTCCTGACACCTGAAATGAGTTCCCAGCTCTGACTCCACACCACGCTGCAGGCAACTGGGGACTGAATCAGATGAGAGTTCTCTAACTCTGTCTACATCTTTCAGGTAGAGCCTCCTCCAAAAAAAGGCACAGTTGTAGTTAAAACAAGTAAAATTAACATCAGTTTCTATTTAGTAATCCTTAAATCACATGAACAAGTTGCAAGCTGAAAATTCATGGCTCCACCAGCGTAAGTCTCCCTAGTCTACTTCATCTACATTTGTAACATTAATATTTGCTAGACGTTACCACAATCATCACTACATATATGCATATATGTAATATATAATAGTTTCAAATTTCTACATCACATCAATTATTCAATAGTAATTTGACTTGCAACTTCATATTATCTTACCTATCATAATATCTATCAGGTTCCAAAAAAAAAGTATACATCACAGACTTAATTCTAACTAAAGTAAAATTTTCAAAAAACTTCTTTTGGAAAATCTTATGCTACTTATTTAGAACAACTAGAAACACTTTTAAGTGTCACAAAATCCAGGTTAAAAGCCACTGCACATCTACCACTTATTAGGGCACAGTGTGACATGAGAAATATACCAATCAGTAAACACAGTCCGTGCCCTATGACATGGATATATTTCATATGCTTAATTTTCCTTAGACACCTATTGGATACATGCCTATGGCAAACAATTAATAGCATTCTATAGGTAAGAAACCATGTTTACACTAAGTAAAACTAACATTCCCAGCCTTGGATCAGCTCAGCTCTGGCTGTTGCGGTCATCTGGGAAGTAAACCAGTATATGGTGGATCTTTCTGTCTCTCCTTCGTTCTGACTCTTCTCTCTGTAAATCTGTCTTTCCAATAAAAACAAATGAATCTTTTTGTAAAAAAAAGGAAAGAAACCAACTCACCTTTTTGCACTCATCTGTTCTTTTAGTTTGCTGTACATTTCCAGTACTGCATTAAAAAAATAACATATTAGCTTTTAAAATGAAAAATCTTTTTTGAGGGATGAAAATAAGGCAAAAGAGTGTATTACAATACTAGTAGTCTATACTTTGAGTTAGGCTATTTTCAAATAAAATGCTATATACTTGAAACATCTTTATTCCCATATACACTGAACATTCACATATACACATATATTAACATATTATATTAAATCCAGAAGAATTCATGTAAATTTCTCATCTACCTTATTTTATTTCCACATTGTTTCCACACAAAAATTATGTTTTCTTCAAAAACTAACCAACTCATATACATCATGAATGTTTACTTCCTCTATCTTACATTCCTCCTAATCCCACGAGTTAGGCAACTGCACTTTTCATATATGCTATATATATATATTTTTTTTAATTTTCTGGTACAATCATGTAAGGTCTAGGATCCCTCAAATTCCCACCCCCACGACTAATTCTCCCCAAATAGAAGGACTATACAATAGATAGTCCTTCATACAAGTTATAATTCCATCAGTCTGTTATTTAAGTGTGCCCCAACATTGCTGATACAGATAATGTCAGACAGTCCACCATCCCATTGTCTAGAGATGTCCAACGGTTTCACTGGGAGTCCCTCTTTGATTTGGAAGCAGGGATGCTTGCACTGTATCCTCACATCTGGATATGGTAGTCTCTATTACTCCATCACTATACATTCCCTTAAGTGAGATGCCACAAAATAAGGTTGACAACAGATATGAAGTTAACAACTGCACTTTAATTGATGACTTAACTTGTTCTTTATTCCCATTAGAGACTGTAAGATCCTTCAAAAGCTGGAACTAAGTCATTTTCAACTTTACAGTCCTAGTACCTACCATACTACCTGATACACAATATACTTTTGATATCACTGGAAGATTGGATAGAGGGAAGAAAGCAGTTCTGGATGTGGCTCTCAGGAACACAATATTTATGTAAACTCAGAGTTGGTATCCAGCCTTGAAAGCAGACAGTAGCCATAACAGAAATGTAACTTTAACTTTTTTCTATTTCTCTAAAAGAGTCCACCAGGAGAAGTTGAATTAATCTTTCATATTCCATCAGCACCCAATTTTTTTAGGCTTATTACCAGGCAGGGACAAAACATAGTTTGTCTTCATAGTTGTCACAATGTGTCTGGTAGTGACAAACAGGTATTAACTATCATCACTGTGAAGAGTAAGTTTCTCAACCTTGAAACCTAATAAGCAACTACTTTGTTTATTCAAAATGAATGTGCAAATATTCCTGTCCCACTAGAGGTTAACCTGACTAAAAGTGAAAAGCTGTTCTCCCAAATGAGAAAGTAGTACTTTGTTTTCAGCCAAATAAACTGATTGTTTTCACTGCAATTTGCATTGTTAACTAAAATTTATTGTATGAGCACTATATAAAACACTATATTCTATTTCTTTGGATATGGTAATTCGAGTTCTTTTAAAAAAAAGTTTGAAAACAGGACACTGAAGTGTACCTGAGCATACCTACCCCGTCTGTTTCAACAGCATATATTAACTCCAGGGAAAGAAAATATTGGCTTAACCACTTCAGAAGTTTTTGATGTCCCTATAATACTTGACCTCTAATAGACACCATATACCTAGCCTTTCCACAATACAGGAAGAAATGCAAGAAGGGAGAAGACCTAGCACTTCTGATGTTTTCTTACCTTATCAGCAAAATGAGATTGTGAGCAAAGCAAAACCAACCTGTTAAGTAACAAACAGAAAACAATGGAAAACTAGAGGTAAAAAATTAGGCAAATTAGGCAAAGGAGAGAAAGGGTAATTAAAAGAGACTCTCCCTGTGGGAAAGCACTCTGAGGGGGAAAAACTAACAGGAAGGTGAGGGGAATGAACAGCAAACTAAGCAGAGAGGAAATGGAAAGTGGGAGTTGTTCTAGAAAACTGATGTGACAGTTAAACAGGGGCTTCATAATGTGAGAAAACCATAGAAATTCAGGTAAAAGAGTAATCAGGAAAGATGATCAAGGGCTTTGTTGGGAGGTAATAACCAAATAATTTATAATTTCCATAATACAGAATGACTGCTGCTATAATATTGTAATTTTTACCAGGCCACGCATTACATTATAAACAAGTTTAACTCACCTGGAAGGCATAATTGTAATTTTTCTACCACAGTAGTAATATTTCTTTGTTGAATTCTACATCGAATAATATCTTCTGTTTGAACTATCACCTTAAAAAAGAAAAAAGTCTTTTTTAAGCAAACATTTAAACAGTATGTATTTTGCGAGTACGGTAAAAATGTATAATTTTTCTCACCTCTTTTCCAGCATCTTGAAACCTTCGGTTGGTATCAGTAACTTGCACCTTAAAAATAATTTCAATTTAGTTAGACAAATAATGTATAAAGCTGCTCTGTTGTAACTGCTCACCCTTGTAATCAGATCATGCTTCATGAGAAACTCAGAACAAAGAAATGCAAATTCAAATTAACTCTACAGGTTGAACTTGAACTTTTGATTGAAAAGGGCTTTTGTTAACTTCAATTACTTATGACAGTTCTATTTAACAGATTCTGTGGCAAACTTCTCAAATTTACTCAGGATTTTTGAACTTTGCTTGCTTCTCTAAGTCTGTCAAACAATTCAAATCACTGACCCAATTGACCACTCGTCCCTTTTTGATAACTTCAATGAGGTCTATGTGCCGTTCATTGTCTGTAGGAAATGGTGATTGCATTTTATGGTAATTAAACATTCATACTTTGCTGAATGCAAACACCTGGTGGTTGATTAACATCAAACATGAAAATCTCAATCCACAGCAACATTTTAATGCTGCAAGTGCAGGCAAAACTCAACCTCAAATTTTCCCACATATTAAGTGACTCATTAGGTCATCATAGTAAGGAAGCACATTCCAGTTATTAAAAATCTCATTAATTTCTGAACAAAGATACTCAGTGACCTCATTGATGCTGTATTTGGTCTCTTGTTATCTGAATATCCTTTATATAATGGTTTTCTAATCATAACCTTTGAATTCTGTCTGCTAAGCATTCTAAGTATAAAGAAAAATAAATAGGACAAATCTTATAATTAACTATTTTATATGCTGACTAAAGAAATATAATCCTCACTTTAATGTTTTTGCTGTTGACAGAAACTGTAGCTCAACTTTGCATAGGAAAAATATACACTGTTGCTAAACTATCTTTAAAAGAACTTCAGTATTATAATTTTAAAACATAATAATTTATACTAGTTTTTAAGGTATATTGAAGGATGGCTTTTTATCAGTATTGTATATTAACTGTCATCTTAAACTGCAAATAGGGCCTTTCATTGTATGTATGTTTTGAGTTAATTTTTCCACATAGAGAGAAATCCTTTTAATTCAATGCATTACCTGCTGCAGAAGAAAAAAAAATTATTCTTGTCATTAGCATGACAACTGTTAACAGCATAAAAAGCATTCCAAAATACATATACTCATCCACCTCTTGAAAGCACATTAAATAATGACTTGTACATATGAATTAATGCTTGGCCAATTTAATGAGAACATGAGCAAACAGAATCCTACACAAGATCTTAGCCAAAAGGCCGGGAAGTGATATAAACAGAACCCTAACACATTTCTTACCTTCAGTTTTTCTGCATCAGCTCTTACTTTAAGAAGCTCTGTAATGGCATCTACAAACCCCTGATGATGAAAATTACACATCTTTTCGATTTCCTTGTCATGATTACGGATACAAGCATCTAATTTTTCCATAAATTTCTTGTGTGCATTTGGTTGGTCATCATACACAGACCTGCATGCATGTAAGAAAACTAAAATTAACTTCCCACGTCATCAAAATTTATTCTTTGTTAAGCCAAACTTTTGCAAAAGCTAGTATCTTAAAATTAAATCTCTGAACAACTGAGTTTGAAAGTACTGCCTTCAGAAGAAATAACCTGAGTAGGATATATAAACTTTTAAAATGTTTATCCATCTATTTGTAAGGCAGAGACATACTGAAACATAACAGAGACAGAAAGAAATCCCCCTTCTCCTGACTCACTCCCCAAATGTCCGTAACAGCCAGGATTGGGACAGGCTGAAGCCAGGAGCCAAGAACTCAACCCAAACCTTCCACAAGGATGACATGGACCTTCAGTTATCACCTGCTACCTTCAGAATAAAGCTGGAAACAGGAAAAGTGACTCAAACACAGATGTAGGTACCTTAACCACAGTGCCGAATTTGTTTTTAACTTGCTAATATTAGGAGAGTAACAAGCCATGCAGATACATCACTAGCTATCCAAAATTAAAGGTCTGAGGCACAGGGGATGTGGACATAGCAGAAGCCTTCAACACTCCGATTGGGACTGGGACGAGTTAGTTCACTACCCAGGGCACACAGAAAACAACCTGACACGGGTCCTTTGAGAAGAGAAAGGATGTGTGTGTTACCCAGCAAGGAAGTAGAATGTGTAAGTAGTGTCTACCCCCTCAATTGGGAATCTCAAGCAAGTTTTATGTAGTCAAAAAAGAGAAAGTCAGAGGAAGATAAATTCAGTGGACTTCCTGATTGGTGGGGCCCAGGACAGGACCATATACAGACTGGTATGAGGGAAAGCAGTGAATGCTGTATACTTATCAGATCCTCCATTTCCTGAATACGACCAGCTTTTCTGTTCCACTTAGTTACCAACTCTGGTTCTGTGGAGAGATACACCCTGGTTCTGCGTGTCATCCATATGTTAACAATCCATTCTACACATGTGTCATTCAACTATCTTTGAACCAGCTTTTCTAGGAAAACAGGAACCTTAAAAGAAGTGATCAGACGTATAGGCCAAAACCTACTGTTAAGCACAGGAAGTGGAGGAACAGGGAGACAGAGCAGGAGGCTTCTGTGGTTTCAGTGTCAAGAGACCTGATAATGAGGACAATATTGTTTTCAATACTAAGGCTCAAAAAAGGATCCTTAGTGAATGAGCAAACAAACATTTCTACATCATTTACTACGTGTCAGGTCAAGTTCTAAATGCTTTTTATACTGAATCTTTAAAAAAAAAAACAAAACCTATTTTTTAATTTATTTGAAAGCTAGAATGGCATTGACCAAAGTTGGGCCAGTTCCTGCTGCATTTCCCAGGCCATTAGTGAGAACTGAATCCAAAGTGTAGTCAGAACACAAATCAATCCAGTGCCCACATAGGATGCTAGCATCTCAGTGGTGGCTTTACCTGCTACACAATACTGGCCTCTCTATGTCAATTCTTTTTTTCTTTTAAAGATGTATTTATTTTCATTGGAAAGTCAGATACACAGAGAGGAGGAGAGACGGAGAGAAAGATCTTCCATCCACTGATTCACTCCCCAAGCGGCTACAACGGCCAGAACTGAGCCCCACCAACCAAGTGGTCCTGCTCCTTCAGGTCTGTAACTTACCCAGATGAGGCCTTTCTGTCTATGCTAGCTAGATTATACATACACACATACATTCCCCTTCTCTGCTTCATTTCTAATTTTATTTTTTACCATCTAAATATTTAGTTTACTATCCAAAGGCCTGTGTCAGTAACCTCTGTAGAATACACCATTTCACACATGTATTTATGATTACCCATCTTCCCCTCACTGGAATGCAGGCTGCATGAGGACACAATTTTTGTCTACTTTGCTCCCTTCATAATCTTCTCCCACAAGAGCAGTTTTTGCTTTGCTCCCTTCTATATCCTTTGTCCAAGACCAGCATCTATCACTTAGAAGATACTTAATAACGAGTGGCTGGACGGGTAACTCGATGGAACCAGAAAGGGCACTTATGCTGTGACAGCTTCATGTAAGCCACCTGACTTCTCCAAATCTCAATTTTCTCAACCATAACAAAGGAGCAAAAACTATCTACAGCAATGAGCAAGCAGGATTTGAAGTTAAAAACCCAGTATTATTTATACTGACACTCCCCAATATAAAACTTATAAATCTGACCGATACATAAGATATGTGTGAAGAAAAACAAAACTCCAATGAAAGATATCAAATGAAAACATTTACCATGCTTATAAATAGGAAGAAAGTATTGTGAAGGAAATCAGTCCTTCCAAATAATCTATAGATTCAATACAATCCCAGTAAAAATTCCAGAAAATTACTTTGCAGATATGAACAAAATGATCCGTCAGTTAAAAAGATAAAAGATCCAGAATACAATATAATAATTAATTCAAAACAGAGTTTTAAAATGCAAAATTATAAAACATTTAGAAGATAACTGAAAATCTAAATTATCTTAGATGTGGGGTAGTTTTTAAAATATGACGTCAAAGGTACAAGTCAAGAAAAATGTAACCGGTAGGATAAATAATATTAAAGTAAAACATTTCTGGGCCCAGCACTGTAGAATGCCAACTGAGACACCAACATTCCATTTGGGCACTAGTTCAAGTCCTGCCTGTTCCACTTTGGTTCCAGCTTTCTATTATTGACCTAGAGAAAATGGTAGAAGAGGGTCCAAGTGCTCTCCCATCCATGGGGCCCCAGCCCCAGCCATTATGGTTATCTAGGGAGTGAACCACCATGTAGAAGACTTTTTCTCTTTCCTGTCTCTCTCTTTTTTCTCTCTTTCTCTCTGTGTGTAACTCTGACTTTCAAGACAAACTTTAAAATCTCCCCCCCAAAAAATAACAGTAAAAATTTTCTACTCCACGAAACTTTGTGTTAGAATGGCCATCATTAAAAAGCCAATAACAAAAACTGGCGAGAACTTGGAGAAATGGAAATAAACATACTCTGTTGAGTGAGAATGTAAATTAGTGCAGTTATTTTTTTTAATTGACTTATATTTTAATTGGAAAAACAGATTTCACAGAGGAAAGGCAGAAAGAACAATCTGCCATCTGCTGGTTCGCTCCCTAAATGGCAGCAATGGCCAAAGCTGACTTGACCAGGAGCCAGGAGCCTCTTTTAGGCCTCCCATATAGGTGCATGGGAGAGTCCCAAGGCTTTGGGCTATCTTCCACTGCTTTCCCAGGCCATAAGCAAGGAGATGGAAAGGAAGTATAGCACCTGGGACACAAACTGATGCCCATATGGGATGCCAGTATTTGCAAGCAGAGGATTAGCCAATTGAGCCATTGCACCAGCCTTAGTCCAGCTATTCTGAAAACCAGCATGAAGGCTCCTTAAAACCTAGAACTATCATTCAACAATTCTCTTTCTCATTGCACTCAATGCATTCACAACAGCCAAGACATGGAAGCAATCTAAGTTCCCACTGACCAGACAGACAGTAGGTAAAGAAAGTGTGGTATATATACACACAATGGGGTAGTATCTAGCCATAAAAAATATTTAAGCTCTCTCAGTTGAAGGTGGAACTGGAGGACATTATGTTACTGTGTAACAGGTTAAGCCTCTACCTGCAGTGTCAGTGACCCACATGGGGGCGGGGTGGCAATTCAAATCCCTTGGCTCTACTTCTGATCCAGTCCCCTGCTAGTGGCCTAGGAGGGCAGCAGACAATGGCCCCTGCATCCACATGGGAGACTAAGAAGAAGCTCCTAGTTTCACACTAGCCTGTTACAGCCATTGTGGCCATGTAGGGAGTGATTTGGCTGATGGAGGATCAAACTCTGTGTCTCTCCTTCTTTTCCTGTAACTGCTTTTAAAATAAAAATAAACAAATCTTTCTTTTAAAAAAAAGATAAATAAGTCACATATAGACAAAAATTGTGGCCAGCATTGGACCATATCAGGATGCCACTTCAAAATTCCTGTTGTTGTGTTTCTAATCTGGCTTCTTGGTAATGCACCACAGAAGGCAGAAGATGGCCCAAAGGCATGGGCCTCAGCCACCCACATGGGAGACCTGCATGGAGCTCCGGGTTCCTAACTTCAACCTAAGCTAGTCCTGACTGTTGCAGTCATTTGGGGAATGAACCCGCAGATGAATGGACGGTCTCCTTGTCTTTCCCTTTCTCTGATGTTCTAATTTTCAAACAAACAAACAAAAAAAAGACAGGGGATAGCGCTGTGGCAGGCTAAGTAAAGCCACTGCCTGTGGTGCTGGCATCCCATATGGATGCCAATTCAAGTCATGGCTACTCCACTTCTTATCTAGCTTCCTGTTAATGTACCTGGGAAAGCAGTGGAGGGTGGGCCAAGTGATTCAGCCTCTGTACCCATGTGGGATACCTGGACAAAGCTCCTGGCTCCTAGTTTTAGATCAGCACAGCTCTGGGCATTGTGGCCATTTGGGGAGTGAATCAGCACATAAGGACTCTCTCTCTCTGCCTTTCAAACAGATAAACAAATCTTTAAACACACACACACAGAGGAAGAGAGAGAGATAACCAAAGCAAATACTGCATGTTCCTACCTGTGAAAGCTTAAAAAGGTGATTGCATAGAAAAAGGGCATAGGACAGGGAGACTGAGTGATAACAATTAACAAGTAAAGGTTACAATTGGATAGAAGCAAATTTATAATGTTCTATAGAACTATGATTGACAATAAATTCTTTGAAATACTAAAAAAATTTTTAAATGTTCCCAACACAAAGGCTCGATAGATACTTAAGGTGATGCATACGTCAATTACCCTGATCACACATTGTGCACAGTTGATAAAATGCCACTTCTACCCCATAAATAAGTATAATTACTACATGTGAATTAAACTGCTTTTTTAAAATATAAGTTTAAAAAAGACATAGAAGAAACATAAGTACATATAATAAAGTGAAAGAAACTAATGTGAAAAGGCTACCTACATGAATCCAAGTACATGACATTCTGGTACATGACAAACTACAGAA